AATGGAACAATAAAAAAGGCATAATTTACCGACAATGGTACAATAAAAAAGACTTCATTTACAGACAATGGTACAATAAAAATCAACAACATCATTTACAGACAATGGTACAATAAAAAAGACATCATTTAGAGACAATGGTACAATAAAAAAGATATAAATTACAGGCAATGGTACAATAAAAAAGATTTCATTTACAGGCAATGGTACAATAAAAAAGACATCATTTACAGACAATGGTACAATAAAAATGACATGATTTACAGAAAATGGTATAATAAAAGACATCATCTACAGACAATGGTACAATAGAAAAGACATAATTTCCAGACAATGGTGCAATAAAAAAGATTTCATTTACAGACAATGGTGCAATAAAAAAGATTTCATTTACAGACAAGGGTACAATAAAAAAGACATCATTTACAGACAATGGTACAATAAAAACGACATTATTTACAGACAATGGTACAATAAAAAAGACATCATTTACAGACAATGGTACAATAAAAAAAGACATCATTTACAGACAATGGTACAATAAAAAAGACATCATTTACAGACAATGGTACAATAAAAATCAACAACATCATTTACAGACAATGGTACAATAAAAAAGACATCATTTAGAGACAATGGTACAATAAAAAAGATATAAATTACAGGCAATGGTACAATAAAAAAGATTTCATTTACAGGCAATGGTACAATAAAAAAGACATCATTTACAGACAATGGTACAATAAAAATGACATGATTTACAGACAATGGTATAATAAAAGACATCATCTACAGACAATGGTACAATAGAAAAGACATAATTTACAGACAATGGTGCAATAAAAAAGATTTCATTTACAGACAATGGTGCAATAAAAAAGATTTCATTTACAGACAAGGGTACAATAAAAAAGACATCATTTACAGACAATGGTACAATAAAAACGACATTATTTACAGACAATGGTACAATAAAAAAGACATCATTTACAGACAATGGTACAATAAAAAAAGACATCATTTACAGACAATGGTACAATAAAAAAGACATCATTTACAGACAATGGTGCAATAAAAAAGACATCATTTACAGACAATGGTGCAATAAAAAAGACATCATTTACAGACAATGGTGCAATAAAAAAGACTTCATTTACAGACAATGGTGCAATAAAAAAGACATCATTTACAGACAATGGTGCAATAAAAAAGATATCATTTACAGACAATGGTGCAATAAAAAAGATATCATTTACAGACAATGGTACAATAAAAAAGATATCATTTACAGACAATGGTGCAATAAAAAAGACATCATTTACAGACAATGGTGCAATAAAAAAGATATCATTTACAGACAATGGTGCAATAAAAAAGATATCATTTACAGACAATGGTACAATAAAAAAGATATCATTTACAGACAATGGTACAATAAAAAAGATATCATTTACAGACAATGGTACAATAAAAAAGATATCATTTACAGACAATGGTACAATAAAAAAGATATCATTTACAGACAATGGTATTATCAAACAATCATGATGTTCCACATTCGGATTCAAGAATTCAGCTCACCTCAGAGCCAAAGTTTGCAACAGAAGGAGAGCGGTTCACTCTGTCATGTAGAGACAGGGAAGGTGTCATTGGAACAGCGCGATGGTATCGAAACTCAGCTGAAGTGTTCCAAACAAGCCATACACAACCCAAGCAGACACTTCGCAGTTCCAGTGGAACGGTCGACAGAATTATTGCTGGACGTATTACTGTGGATGCAAACTTAACAAGACATAACATCATGCTCGTAGTCAACTCTACTCTTGATGAAGGATCTAAATGGTCATGTAGGGACGGACAAAACTCAAGTCATGAATTGACTATTTGCTTCTTGGCAATCCGTACTGGTAAGTGGGTGAGTGAGTGACGTGTGTTTAACGCCACTGTACAGTGTAGTTCTGTTATAACATGGCGTCGGTTTGGTGTGGGTGAAAAGTAATGGTAAGTAATGGATCATCTGGATAAAACTCGACAAGAGTTTCTTCTGCAACAGAGCTATATTTGTTCCTCCTTTTCTATCCTCACTTTGAAGTCGAATAAAACTGAAAATACATCTCGAAAACATATACACTTCCAATTACACAAATTGGGTACATCGTAAATATTGCTATTTTGGGACATTATATTGAATCAGCATTCACGGCAATATTTCGTTTTGATTTGAAATCTAAATATCGGATATTTCCTCGCAAATGACTGTTTGCTTCTTCACAAACCATATCAGTGAATGGAGGATCACATGAATATAACTGTTTCCTTACATTAAATCTCACATTTTCTCTCTTGTAGATATATACTACGTAAAAAATAATTGTTGCCAATTTGTCACCCTTTTCATTATTGGATATTTTGAAGTTTACAGAAGAATTATGTCAGTCCCATCTATTATCAGATCAAATTCGATGCGACGTCATTCATTGCCATGACATCACAAATTGATTTCATTAACTCTTTTAACAATAGGTTGCTTTCAGTGAAGCTCTCTGAAGGGTTGACATTTCATTCGCTTTTCTTCATTTTCTTTCTTTAAATTTAATAAATGATATACAGATTAACAAACTCACACTTGGAATTACTGAGTATCTGTCCCTGACTGGTTATTCTGTAATTAATGGGCGGAAAATGAAATTACATTCAGAACACCAACACTTGAAGTTATTGTGAAATGCAGTACGTCATCATCGATTTCCTCTAATCACCATGATAGGTTTGAGGAACAGAGTATTCATCCACAACTCTCGTTCCAATCCACTACATGCACATGGTTTTCAGTATTCCAATGTCCAAAATATAGTTTGATGGATAATATAGAAAGATAATACTTTTTGATAAATATAAGAATTTTCGTGACCCTAAATATTTCTCAATACTTTTGTATATAAACTGACGTCCAAAAGAAACTTTACTAACTGAAAATATATATTTCAGACAAAGTATAAATTTTTTTTCGATGAAGTCTATCTAAAACAAATAACCTAAATACAACAATAGAGTATGCAGAAAATGTTAATCGTCTGTTACATGTTTGCGAGATAAAACGCGAAAAAGTAAAAAACACGTGCACCACGGACAACTGCAAATACACGTGCTGGTAAGGGTATAAAACGATTGCAACGGCAAGTCAGACAACCACAGTGATAAAAAAAACACAAAGAAATTCCACGACTCACAGTCGAACAACGTGAACGAGCCTTGGGTATGGTACAGATGGGAGCCACCCATGCCCATATTGCACGAACCTTCAGTTGCTCCCCTGTTGCAGACAGACAAGGCGTACCGCTGACAGGCCAAGATTAGGCAGACCCAGGTTGACCACGCCCCATGATGACCGGTACTTGCGTACCTTGCACGCAACGACGTGACTGGCAGAGTGTTGTCTTCACTGACGAAAGTCGATTCTGTATGTTTAGGGCTGATGGAAGACATCGTGTTTACCGCCGAAGGGGTGGACGAACGGCAGGGTGTTGCGTGCAGGAGGTCTTACCATATGGTGGAGGGAGTGTCATGGTGTGGGGAGGGATCTGTGGGTAGGAGAGGACACCGCTGGTCATCGTTGACGGAAACTTGACAGCTCAGCGGTACATGGATACCATTCTTCGTCCAGTTGTCCTACCATTTCTCCAACAGCAGCCACGTGGTGTCATTTATCAGCATGACAACGCAACAGCCCATTCAGCCAGAATTGTCACTAACTTCCTCGCAGCCAACAACGTCAACGTCCTGCCGTGGCCTGCACGCTCACCCGACATGTCCCCCATAGAACACCTCCTGGACTTGATCGATCGTCGTGTTCGACAACGACCACACTCTCCAGCCAACCGGCAAGAACTGTTCTTGGCCCTCCAAGACGAATGGCGTCAAATCCCACATGACCTCATCAGACTACTGACTTTTTCTGTGCGTCGAAGAGTTTTTGCGTGTATTGAGGCATTTGGTGGTCACACACGCTACTAATGACTTTTTATTGAACGTGAGCGATTGTTTATGTACTCTGCCTATTGTCTATGATTCTGAAAGCTCGAGTTTTGTACCACACCCAACTTTGGGAGGCTCTAACGTCATTCTCGGTCGCGGTATGATTGTCATGTTCAGTGTTGATTATGTTGATATATTGATCTTCTCAATACACTTTACTTCATGCATGTATGTTTTGTTGTTTTTGAGCAAGAGTGATTTCAAACTCTGGTAAAGTTTATTTTGAGGTCAGTTTATTATTTACGAATTTGCGAACACTTCTTTTTTTCACAAATATAAGGGGTGGTGAACCGTCCCTGTGTGTTAGGTAGGGAGAATTTCCGTTTCAAGCTTTTATATTTTTAGTGAAATAAGGGATACTTTCACTCGTAGCAACGTCTCATTCGATGAGAGAAACGTGATATTTCCTTCGACACATGAAATAGACTGTATATAGTAAGTTTATTTTATACGAGATATAGCCAGAGATCTTTTCCATTTTGAACGATAATGGGCACTTGTTCGGGGATTGGAAAAGTCGTTTGAGCGTTGGTGTTACCGCATACGCACTGAGCTAAAACCAAATCGCCATAGGTTTAAACCTATCCACAGAAACATTCACCTTATTCCATCCTGTCATAACATGTGTGTATGTTTTAATTAGTGACCTACTTTCTCAAAGTGGGTGCATCATGTCAGTGCATCAGTTTGCAATATTCCAAATAATGTTTGAAAATGATGCGTTTCTACTGGACCAAAGGCGGGTACATTCATATGTTTTTCATGTATATTAGCTATGACTTAAACGAAATACTGTTTCGATATAGCTGGGGAATTCCATTGAAAACATAAGATTGAACTGAGAGTTTGTACAATTGGCAAAAGTCAGAGTGTACAACTGCATGCATCTTCACATAATATACACGGCTTATTGACATAGCTCTATTCACCATAGCAAGGCTATTAAATGTAATTGTGTTTTTCAGATAGCATTGACAGCCCAAGCACCATTCCAATGACAACAAGTCAAACAACTTTAGAGAACAGTAAGTGTTTATGTTTATATTATGTTATAGACATTTAAGTCCGATACATTGGTCTGAGTAACTGAATTCAAAACATGACACGCGGATAGCTATATTTACGGCATGTTTATTCATATAGTAACATTATTACTTTTTAGATGCGGCTGCGGCCTTTTAAAGTTACATGATAACAGACTTGGGCGTTACGAATCACTCTACGCCATAAAAGAATCCCGTCAAGATCCGAGGTAGAATAGGCCTTCAGCAACACATGCTTGTTGTAAAAGGCGACTATGCTTGTTGCAAGAGTCGACCAACGGGACGGGTGGTTCGGCTCGTTGACTTGGTTGATGCATGTCATCGTATCCCAATTTCGAGGATCGATGCTCATGATGTTGATCACTGGATTGTTAGGTCCGGACTTGATTATTTACAAACCGCAGTAAGAGAGCTGGAATATAGCTGAGTGCGGCGTTAAACAAACAAACAAACAAACATGACGTCATACAAGAGTGACCTCCCCTCAAATTGTCTCCCCTTATCGTAAGTGTCTGGTGTGTACACAAATTGTTGACGTCATTTTTACGTTACTTTCACATTGACAAGGCAAAATAATGACAGATGGTCATTTACGGAGTGAACATCACTTCCTGCCGTTTGTCCTCCTCTCGAAATTGTTTCGTTTTTAACTGTAAGTTTCTCATTTAGCTCATCAATCGAGACTGTACGTTTCGATAAGCGCCATTTTGGTTACTTGTAAAACGTGTATTATTTCACTTCCAACAGCTGTCTCGTAATTTTCAAGAATATGTTTTGCTTAAGTTGATCTTGTATATAATCACATCAAAATGTATGATAAGAATTTTCGTGACCCTAAATATTTCTTGATACTTTTGTATATATTATTTAAGAATTTGCGACACTTCTTTTTAAGTCGTAAATATAAGGGGTGGTGAACCGTCCCTGTGTGTTAGGTAGGGAGAATTTCCGTTTCAAGATTTTATATTTTTAGTGACATAATCTATTTTTCCGGTAGACAACTACACAAAAAGTATATGATAAACTGGATATTCCAGGTGTCTCGTGAAGTACCAAGTATCTCTCATCTTGTGACGGGGAAAAGGGGATACTTGCACTCGTAGCAACGTCACTCGTGACAATATCTCCTTTACCCACGTCATTCGATGAGAGAAACGTGATATTTCCTTCGACACATGAAATAGACTGTGTATAGTGAGTTTATTTTATACGAGATATAGCCAGCGACCTTTTCAATTTTGCACGATAATAGGCACTTGTTCGGGGATTAGAAAAGTCGTTTGAGCGTTGGTGTTACCCTTACGCACTGAGCTAAAACCAAATCGCCATAGGTTTAAACCTATCCACAGAAACATTCACCTTATTCCATCCTGTCATAACATGTATGTATGTTTTAATTAGTGACCTACTTTCTCAAAGTGGGTGCATCATGTCAGTGCATCAGTTTGCAATATTCCAAATAATGTTTGAAAATGATGCGTTTCTACTGGACCAAAGGCCGGTACATTCATATGTTATTCACGTATATTAGCTATGACTTAAACGAAATACTGTTTCGAAATAGCTGGGGAATTCCATTGAAAACATAAGATTGAACTGAGAGTTTGCAACATTGGAAAAAGTCAGAGTGTACAACTGCATGCATCTTCACATAATATACACGGCTTATTGACATAACTCTATTCACCATAACAAAGCTATTAAATGTAATTGTGTTTTTCAGATAGCAGTGTCAGCCCAAGCACCATTCCAATGACAACAAGTCAAACATCTTCAGAGACCAGTAAGTGTTTATGTTTATATTATGTTATAGACATTTAAGTCCGATACATTGGTCTGAGTAACTGAATTCAAAACATGACACGCAGATAGCTATATTTACGGCATCTTTATTCATATTATAACATTATTACTCTTTAGATGCGGCTGCAGCCTTTTAAAGTTACATGATAACAGACTTGGGCGTTACGAATCTCTCTACGCCATAAAAGAATCCCGTCAAGATCCGAGGTAGAATAGGTCTTCAGCAACACATGCTTGTTGTAAAAGTCGACTATGCTTGTTGCAAGAGTCGATCAACGGGACGGGTGGTTAGGCTGGTTGACTTGGTTGATGCATGTCATCGTATCTCAATTTCGAGGATCGATGCTCATGATGTTGATCACTGGATTGTTAGGTCCGGACTTGATTATTTACAAACCGCAGTTAGAGAGCTGGAATATTGCTGAGTGCGGAGTTAAACAAACAAACAAACAAACATGACGTCATACAAGAGTGACCTCCCCTCAAATTGTCTCCCCTTATCGTAAGTGTCTGGTGCGTACACAAACTGTTGACGTCCTTTTTACGTTACTTTCACATTGACAAGGCAAAGTAATGACAGATGGTCATTTAGGGAGTGAACATCACTTCCTGCCGTTTGTCCTCCTCTCGAAATTGTTTCGTTGTTAACTTTTAGTTTCTCATTTAGCTCGTCAATCGAGACTGTTCGTTTCGATAAGCGCCATTTTGGTTACTTGTAAAACGTGTATTATTTCACTTCCAGCAGCAGTCTCGTAATTTTCAAGAATATGTTTTGCTAAAGTTGATCTGGTATATAATCACATCAAAATGTATGATAAGAATTTTCGTGACCCTAAATATTTCTTAATACTTTTGTATATATTATTTAAGAATTTGCGAAACTTCTTTTTAAGTCGTAAATATAAGGGGTGGTGAACCATCCCTGTGTGTTAGGTAGGGAGAATTTCCGTTTCAAGCTTTTATATTTTTAGTGACATAATCTATTTTTCCGGTAGACAACTACACAAAAAGTATATGATAAACTGGATATTCCAGGTGTCTCGTGAAGTACCAAGTACCTCTCATCTTGTGACGGGGAAAAAGGGATACTTGCACTCGTAGCAACGTCGCTCGTGAAAATATCTCCTTTACCCACGTCATTCGATGAGAGAAACGTGATATTTCCTTCGACACTTGAAATAGACTGTGTATAGTGAGTTTATTTTATACGAGATATAGCCAGCGACCTTTTCAATTTTGAACGATAATGGGCACTTGTTCGGGGATTAGAAACGTCGTTTGAGCGTTGGTGTTACCGCATATGCACTGAGCTAAAACCAAATCGCCATAGGTTTAAACCTATCCACAGAAACATTCACCTTATTCCATCCTGTCATAACATGTATGTATGTTTTAATTAGTGACCTACTTTCTCAAAGTGGGTGCATCATGTTAATGCAGCAGTTTGGAATATTCAAAATAATGTTTGAAAATGATGCGTTTCTACTGGACCAAAGGCCGGTACATTCATATGTTTTTCATGTATATTAGGTATGACTTAAACGAAAGACTGTTTCGAAATAGCTGGGGAATTCCATTGAAAACATAAGATTGAACTGAGAGCTTGTACAATTGGCAAAAGTCAGAGTGTACAACTGCATGCATCTTCACATAATATACACGGCTTATTGACATAGCTCTATTCACCATAGCAAGGCTATTAAATGTAATTGTGTTTTTCAGATAGTGGTGACAGCCCAAACACCATTCCAATGACAACAAGTCAAACAACTTCAGAGACCAGTAAGTATTGATGTTTATATTATGTTATATACATTTAAGTCCGATACATTGGTCTGAGTAACTGAATTCAAAACATGACACGCGTATACCTATATTTACGGCATGTTTATTCATATAGTAACATTATTACATTTTAGATGGTGGCTGCGGCCTTTTAAGTTACATGATAACAGACTTGGGCGTTACGAATCACTCTTCGCCATAAAAGAATCCCGTCAAGATCCGGGGTAGAATAGGCCTTCAGCAACACATGCTTGTTGTAAAAGTCGACTATGCTTGTTGCAAGAGTCGACCAACGGGACAGGTGGTTGGGCTCGTTGACTTGGTTGATGCATGTCATCGTATCCCAATTTCGAGGATCGATGCTAATGATGTTGATCACTGGATTGTTAGGTCCGGACTTGATTATTTACAAACCGCAGTTAGAGAGCTGGAATATTGCTGAGTGCGGCGTTAAACAAACAAACAAACATGACGTCATACAAGAGTGACCTCCCCTCAAATTGTCTCCCCTTATCGTAAGTGTCTGGCCCGTACACAAATAGTTGACGTCCTTTTTACGTTAGTTTCACATTGACAAGGCAAAATAATGACAGATGGTCATTAAGGGAGTGAACATCACTTCCTGCCGTTTGTCCTCCTCTCAAAAATGTTTCGTCGTTTACTCTAAATTTCTCATTTAGCTCGTCAATCGAGACTGTTCGTTTCGATAAGCGCCATTTTGGTTACTTGTAAAACGTGTATTATTTCGCTTCCAACAGCTGTCTCGTAATTTTCAAGAATATGTCTTGCTAAAGTTGAACTTGTGTATAATCATATCAAAATGTATGATAAGAATTTTTGTGACCCTAAATATTTCTTAATACTTTTATATATAACTACCGGGGAAAAGAAAGTTTTCACTTTAAAAATAGTTGTATAAAAAGCAAAAAAGCTGGTACAGGTTTGAACCCCTGTAGAAAACATTCCCCCAAATGCAACATGACCACAACCACAACTCAGATTTTCGAACGCAGCTTTCATTGTTGGGAACGCGCATTACGTGATTTTGAGACATTGGTTCAAATGCACGTGCGTGATTGTGGCATAAATACCGACGTTCGACAGAGCAGGCATTCAGTAAGCAAGCAAAAAAACACCAAGAATATGCCCAGACTTACACAAGCGCAACGAGACAAAGCGATCGGTATGGCCAATATGGGGGCTACTCAACGTCAGATAGACAGAACCTTCAACTGCTCCCAGACCACCATCAGCAAGTTGATAATCCGCTACCAACAGACAGGACATTCTCAAGATCGGCCAAGATCGGGAAGACCGAGAGTGACAACACCGGCCGAAGACCGCTACATCCGGCAGATTCACCTCCGAAACAGATGTGTGACGGCGACGTCAAGGGCAGCAACAGCACTAGGGCATAAGTTCAGCAGACGAACAGTCCTTCGACGACTTCGTACGCTGGTATACGAGCCTACCGACCCTTCCGTGGAATGGCCTTGACCCGTCTACACCGTCTACGCGGACTGCAATGGGCACGATCTGTACGTCGGTGGCAGCGACGTGACTGGGCGAGAGTGCTCTTTTCTGATGAAAGTCGGTTCTGTCTGTTCAGGAACGATGGCAGAGTTTTTCTACGAAGGGGAGAGCGACTGGCATTAGAGAAGTTCACCCGTTTGGAGGTGGAAGCGTCATGGTATGGGGTGGCATTTGTGGCCAGATTACAACACGGCTGGTTATCATCCGAGGAAACCTGAATGCTCAGCGATACAGGGATGAAGTGTTGAGACCTGTTGTGGTGCCCTTTATTCAACATCAGCCAAGAGGATTAATTTTGCAACAAGACAACGCAAGGCCTCACACCGCCCGAATTGTTCAAGACTACCTGAACAACGTTAACGTCAGAGTATTGCCCTGGCCACCTTGTTCTCTAGACATGAACCCCATTGATCATCTCTGGGGTCATCTTGATCGTCAGCTGAGACAACATGTACCGCCTCCAGCGAACTGACAGGAACTTGAACAGACTCTATTGAACTTATTGAACAGGATTCATCATAAATCTCACATATGCCTTTGTTTTTGGTGTTTGGTCAAGTGAAGTCGGTGAAAACTTTCTTTTGCCCAGTAGTTTATTATTTAAGAAGTTGCGACACTTCTTTTTAAGTCGCAAATATAAGGGTGGTGAGCCGTCCCTGTGTGTTAGGTAGGGAGAATTTCCGTTTCAAGCTTTTATATTTTTAGTGAAATAATTTATTTTTCCGGTAGACAACTACACAAAAAGTATATGATAATTTGGATATTCCAGGTGTCTCGTGAAGTACCAAGTTTCTCTCATATCGTGACGGTGAAAAGGGGATACTTGCACTCGTAGCAACGTCACTCATGAAAATATCTCCTTTACCCATGTCATTCGATGAGAGAAACGTGATATTTTCTTCGACACATGAAACAGACTGTATATAGTAAGTTTATTTTATACGAGATATAGCCAACGACCTTTTCAATTTTTCATGATAATGGGCACTTGCTCGGGGATTAGAAAAGTCGTTTGAGCGTTGGTGTTACTGCATACGCACTGAGCTAAAACTAAATCGCCATAGGTTTAAACCTATCCACAGAAACATTCACCTTATTCCATCTTGTCATAACATGTATGTATGTTTTAATTAGTGACCTACTTTCTCAAAGTGGGTGCATCATGTCAGTGCAGCCGTTTGCAATATTCCAAATAATGTTTGAAAATGATGCTTTTCTACTGGACCAAAGGCCAAACAACAAGTTCTATCTGTACCATCTTTGGACGTATTTTGGGATGACGCGACCGAAGATCCAACCATCGACCTTCCGTTCTCTGGGCAGACACTCTATCCACATGTCCACGGAGCATGGCATGGTTTTATATTGTGTTGTTAGCATTCTCCAACTGGGGGCACGGGTGGTCCAGTCCTCTAAGACGCCGCGATATGCTGTGCGGAGTTGCGTCCCCTGGGCACGCCAGAAACCTATGATTGTTGGTTCGAATCACGATTCGCCCAGTTTATGTTTCTAGGTTTGTCAGCACTATACCCGTGCTCGTGGGTTTCACCGTATTGATAAACGTCAAAGACTGGCATCACTTCGGGCTTTCCTCCCACATTAAACTGGCACGCCGTGATATAACTGTAATACTGTTAAATGCAGAGTTAAACCCAACTCACTCACTCATTCTCCAACTTGTTTTAATGTAATTCTGTGACATGTTACTCTTTGTTTTACTGCCCTTTGTTGACATGATTTGATATAAGTTACATTATGGCTGAAATACTGTCGATGTGGCGCTAAGTTTTAACTCACTCACGAATATAATTGTACTGTTTTGTTTTATAGAGTTCTTACTGCTTGTTACTATCGGCCCAGTGGGTTGTCTGACGTTCATCTTCTGTGTAGCAGTGATGGTTGGCTTTGTCTGTGTTAGGAGAATGACCGGTATTTTTAACTGATTATTTCCTTTGTTGTAACAAACAGAATAACGTATAAAAGGGTTAGAAAGTTCGCCGGAGGTCAAATTATCTTTTTATACCCTCTTCCCAGAATATCTAATTGAGGGCCCGAGAGATTGAAGGCCATAGATACATAATAAAGACATGGAATCTTATAGTAGTGTTAAATATACAGGTTGTTATTGAAAACATGACTACATATTTATCAAGATCAATGTCAGGTATTCCTGAAGTCAGCAGTACCAGGCCTTTACATCAATAACCTTATGTTACAACCTGATGCTGATCATATACCGTTATGTTACAGGTGGACGGGCCAGTGGTAAACAGATGTAAGCACAGGTCTAGATAACTTTTTGAGCAATTGAGTTTTTACTCTAAGGTTTCTATCTTAGTTGGGTTATTACATTTTTCATTGGTTAACCAATATTTTAGTGAACATTTTAAGATTTAAAAAAATGAAAAAATGTTTTAGATGTATATAACTGTTCTAAATAAATAGGCTTGACCCTGAAAGTAAATTAGTTCGTAATTGTGTTTCGGAAATTAGCTTTGTGTAAGTTCACTTGAATGAATCGACCGCCTCCGTGGTCTATTGGTAGAGCGTCCACCCAGAGAGCGGAAGGTCCGGGGTTCGATCCCCGGCCGCATCATACCAAAAGACGTTAAAAGCTGGTACTTGTTGTTACCCTGTCTGGCGCTCGGCATTAAGGGGCTAAAACAAGGACTGGTCGGCTCGGAGTCAGTATACTGTGTCTGAGTGGGGTATTCATGTTAAACTGCGGCATGGTATCTCAGTGAGCTAGCACTATAAATCGGCATCAGTCCGGACCAGTACCATCAGCCACACAAATACACACACGTACATGCACGTCGCTATATAAGTGCAATAATCTTGGACGCGACTTTAAACCCCATTTCACCTCACACCTCACCTTGAATTAATTGCTGACACCACAAACCTTGTTATGTTCACCAATATTTTGTCCTTGTCAGGACACGAAGTCATTCATATCTTTATTTTCCTCTATTGAAATTGAGTCTTGATTGTTTAATTATTTACTATTGGTGACGTGCTTCCATAGTGAACGTGATAGCTCAGATTGCGATTCAAACTGTCACGTCAGTCTCTGGTCTCGGAAACGTTTCCGTTTGGATACTGATGTATCAGGGCACACAGATGGCCAAGCTGTTTAATGTACCATAATTCGCTGTGCAGAGTTGGGTCGTTTTGGCATTCCAAACACCTTGTATCGTGGATTCGAATCCAGATACGACCCAATGATGTTTCTATGTTTGTAAGAGTGCACGTTGCTTCACCGAGGTGGTAAACGTCTGAGATCTGCATCACTTCGGGCTTTCCTCCCACATTAAGCTGACACGCCGCAATATAACTCGAATACTGTTAAAAGCGGCGTTAAACCCAACTCACTACTCCCACATCAAGCTGACACGTCGTGATATAACTGAAACACTGTTCAATGCGGCGTTAAACCCAACTCACTCCCTCACTCCTCCCACCTTAAGCTGACACCCCATCAGACAACTGAAACACTGAACATAGCCGTGTTAAACACAACTCACTCACTCTACGAATATATTATGCTATACTCGCTATCATCGAGCTCCTGTGACTCGTTTCTTTATTTGCATGTCACACTTCTTTGTTCCTTTGAAGTGACATCAGTTCTTCGTCGATAAAGCATCAATATTGACCACTGCATATGGTGATATACCTGTATTGTACGGTGAAGTTTTGTTTGTGTATTTCTAGGACGCATGAAGAAGGCCCACCTGCAAATGGTATGATTTATAACATCAATTCATCAATTCATCAATCTCAACCCCATGGGACCTGAGGTAGAATCTGTCCCCGGCTACCCATATCGCTATTTGTAAGAGGCGACTAAATTGGGAACCCAGGGTCAACGTATGCTGGTCGTAAGAGGCGATTTCATTGATCGGTGCGGCGTTAAACAACATACACACATACATACAAGACATCGCTTTTCATTCTTTAGGACAGACCATGTTTCATCTTGACAAACGTTCTTCTTCTGACACAGTAATGCCATTTCATTGAAGTAAATTTGGAAGAGAGGTACCCTCAAGAATGCAACATGCCAATTGACAGCTGAAGTTGCTCATAATATCAATCACTGGTTTGTCCCTTTGAAACACGGTTATTTAGAAAATTGCTGAGTGCGAGTTTAACAACAACAAAAACAAACAAACAAACAGACAAACAAATAAGCAAATGCCTGAAGCTCGTACGGAATTATGCCATGTCTGTTTCAGCTGTGAGTCTCAATGAATACACCTACTGCGACAGTGTTGGTGCGACCCCATATAGGAAAGAAACTGCAGGTAGAGTAATGATCATGATCACGTTGTTATATCCTCCTAGGGTGGGGGTGGGGGGTGTGAACAGGTGGCCCACTCGTCTAAGGCGCCGCGATTAGCGGTGCAGAGTTGCGTTTCTATGCCAGAAACCTATCATTGTGGGTTCGAATCCGGGTTCGCCCCAAGTATGTTTCTAGGTTTGTCAGCACCATACCCGTGCTCGTTGGTTTCACCGAAGTGGTAAACGTCAAAGACCTGCATCAATTCGGGCTTTCCTCCCACATTAAGCTGACACGCCGTGATATAAAACCCAACTCACTCACTAAAGCCTGATTTGTAAGGAAGTAAAGTACACTCTTTATATGCAACTTGTCAGGTGTCACCTGAAGAATGTTACTCATAGCATCAATCACTGGTTGGTTTCGCCAAAACTCGATTATGTACAGTTCCTGAGTGCCGTTAAGGAAATTTAAATTTGAAGATCAAACTAATGATAAAATCAACTGAGAGCTATAGTTTCGTTTGGCCCTCGGCAAAATATATATAATGAAGGGGCTGATATGAAAATATGTAATATGTGTTTCAGTTATGACGCACAGTATGGTTGTTGATCAACACGCTTACTCCTACATTGCATTATCCGATGCGATCCCCCATAGGAAAGAAACTGCAGGTATTAAAATGGTTTCTTGATCCCATTACAATTTTCCGTTAGTGTTTAATGTGTTTATATGTGGTATGAACTACATGACTGAGTCTCTGTCTCTGTGGTTCTCTTAGTTGTCGACAATGCACCTAACACGAACTGCTCCCTCAGCAATAAAGAATCCGAGGACAGCCAATACCTAACTCCTGGTAAGGTGGTGTACAGAGAATCTCACACTCGTGTCTTCAGAGAACAAATATAACAAGACAATTTAATCAAAGTTATAGGAAGCTTTTTTCAACTTTTATCAACGAGTCTTGATATATTTGATCATAATTTGATGTATAATCCTAAATCATTCTGATAACTTTTCAATTTGTAAAGAATAATAATAAGTATCTTGAGTGTAAAAGGTTCAGCTGACCAGCTTCAGAAGCAGAGAAATTAGCGATGTACATATAGCTACAGTGGACAACAAATATTTGTAGTGCAGCTGGTGTGAGCATCAACATTTTATGCATGTATTTCAATTGGATTTTGAATCTATCTCAATTTGCTCTTCAACGCTATTATTTTCCTTAAAGGGTAAGTGTACACGCAAAAATCACTTTCTTTCTTTTTCTAAACAAAACGCAATTTTAGAATTAATTAGTATCTGTGTTTGAAAATATACACTAATTTTTTTCACAGTGAACGTAGGAAGCTCACAATAGTGAGAAAATGATATGCCGTTATGAGGCCTTCGTTTTTCGAGCTAAACAGGCCTGAGTTATCCCCCTTAGATTATGACGTAATTGGTGCCAATTCAACTGGGTCCCTGTCTATTCTCAACGCATAAGATATCAAGTACCAGTTTGCGGTAAAACAACATGGCCTACGACACACTCCGGCGCAGTGGTGACTCAGCATAACACTATGCTGGCTGGCATCTGAGACGCTAGAATCACACACCTGTACCTACACCACGTGAAGCGGCTCTAACAAAGCATGATGACGTCATAATGTTTATCAATTGGCACCAATGACGTCATATTGCAAGGGGCATAAGCCATGGTGTTTTTGTTGTGGAAATAGAACACTTGGTAAATGTGAAAAATATAAATCGTTTTAATGCGAAAAATATGTTAATTAATTGTGATATTTTTATATTTTTGTCTATGACACTTCTATGTTAACACTTTTAATGTGGAAAAAGTACAAGAAAAATAGGTTCATTTCCGTGTGAACTTGCCCTTTAAACGTATTGTGATAATCATTGCCGTTAGGAATCTCAGAAATTAGAGAAAAACACATCTACAGGTCCTAGTTCTATAGTTAAAGGAAATATTAGTACGTTAAACCCAACAGCGAGTCTATTCAACACTAAGTAATATCGCTACATGCCACATACATTTCCATATCTGCCTCTGTCAATATATAAACTACATGACTGAGTCTCTGTCTCTGCGGTTCTCGTAGTTGCCGACAATGCACCTAACACGGACTGCTCCCTCAGCAATAAAGAATCCGAGGACAGCCAATACCTAACTCCTGGTAAGGTGGTGTACAGAGAATCTCACACTCGTGTCTTCAGAGATCAAAAATTACAAGATGATTTAATCAAAGTTACAAATATCGGAAGTTTTTTTCAACTTTTATCAACGAGTCTTTATATATTTGATCATAATTTCATGTATAATCCTAAACCAGTCTTCTAACTTTTTCAATTGGATCCTACAGATCCTAGTTCTATAGTAAATGGAAATATAAGTACATTAAACCCAACAGCGAGTCTATTCAACACTAAGTAATAGCGCTACATGCCACATACATTCCCATGTACGCCTCTGTCAATATATATGGATTTGTGATATATGTTTCAGTCGTGGAGCCCAGTATGATTCTCAATGGACACACTTAAACCAACATTACAGATTCCGATGCAGGTATTCAACCGGTTTCATGATCAGGTTTTTATTTTTGCTGTTGGTGGTTAGTGTTAATTGACTAGCCTTTGCATGTGTGTGTGGCAGATGCAGCCAGTGGGACAGGATTCGCACCTATTTTCGCGAACACCTGATATCTTCACCATCATGATTGTAACTATAGATTATACTCACTTACTCACTCACTCACTCACGTTGGCCGACATTTATACCATTTAGACCATTTTCAATAACACGGTTTGTCTTTACATAGACGTTTTATGTCTTTTTTATAGAATCTGTATCATTGTTTCAATTAGGTGGTGCTACTACTTTGTTGCCATAGAAACACAAAGTATCTATTTGATTCAGATGCTGGTTTACCATCTCCGACTGGCGAGGCCGCAAACAGGCCACTGACATGCCAGCCCGCCCCAGCTCCACACCACAGCTATACAGAGTTCTCTGCCCAGCCACGGGTGCAGGCCTCGGGTGATATGACCTCGAAAAGTCTATATGAGAATATATCTGTGTGAAATACCTGTGTTATCTGTTCGTGTACCTGAACTTGCTGATACGTCAATGACCGGTTCATGTTTATACGCTTTTGTGAAAGCTTTAAGATTTGCGTTTATGCAGATCAAATCAAATTGTTTGTCTGCATGTAACACGTGGGACGAGTTACACTGAAAGGAAATGTTCAAAATATATAGTGATTATTTTGTATGTACTATGCCATTTATCCAAGCTGTGTAAATGGTACTGGTAAACATCCATACCTTGTTGTTGTCGCTATCGCCAATGTCAGCTACACCTGTTTCGACTTATTATCTCCTACGTAGGACTTATTATCTCCTACGTAGGACTTAATAGGAAATACTAAGTCCTACGTAGGATATTTCTCTTACGTAGGACTTAGTATGGCCTAGAATGCCTATCTCCTACGTAGGACTTAGTATTTCTTACATAGGACTTAGTATCTCCTACGTAGGACTTACTATCTCCTACGTAGGACTTAGTATCTCCTACGTAGGGATATTAAGTCCTACATAGGATATAGTGATTCTAGGCCCTACTAAGTCCTACGTAAGAGATAATTAGTCCTACGTAGGAGATAATAAGTCCTACGTGTGAAATACATAGACAAAAGAAATGTCACCGTGGCCCTACTACGCTTCCGTAGATAACCGATAAACAAGGAGTTGCCACGGGTTTTTTGCAAATACCGAAGTAGTACCTACTTGACCCTTTGCATATTTATCCGTAACTTATCCTGACGGAGGCCGTTTCTGTCAGCTACGCCTCATTTAGATGCTGATTTTTGGTATCTTAGGTATTTATTTTGATAATGGAACAACTGCCTCAGTAAATTGTCACAGTTCACGATGGTAAGTAATGACTAGATAGCCGATAGACAAGGAGTTGCCATAGTTTTTTTTGTAAATACCGAAGTAGTACCTACCTGACCCTATGCATATTTATCCGCAATTGACCCCGACGGAGGTCGTTTTTGTTTGTTTGCCCTATTCTACCGAGACACACACCCACTATACGAAAAAAAAGGATTCCTGATTTGTAGCTGTATTGTCACTGTCCATATTGTTGTGTACAGTGTGCTGTATGTTAGATATTTGGCAGAGCGTGTTCCAGAAGAATGTAACCTTAACTTGAATCACGTGTTGCAGAAGGAAATCTGTGACACTTTTACCACAACCTAATAATAGAACAGAATAATAATTTGCAATATAATTCATCGTTTCATGTGTACAACATTGAAAACAGATAAGAACGTGCGGCCTGTACCTGCGAGCGCCTGTCTCAAATTGATCTGCTAAAAGGTGTTTCACAAGATTCTTTTAACAGGTTCAGCATTCTTCAGCTGAATATGTTAGGCGGTAGAACGTTCAACATTTAACTCTTGCGCAGTTTGACGAAGCGTTGTCCCAAATTGAAATCACGCTTTTCCCCATGTATTGCACTAATTTCTATTTTTCTGTCGAAGAGTTCAAATATAAATTAGCTTGACTTTCTGTCTGCATTCTATGAAAGCTCGATGGTGACACTTTGGGAGCATATATCGTTTTTACATCGAATTTTCTCGTTATTTCAATTATTTGTTTATTTTCTCGTTTTTTTCGTTTCTTCGATTAGATTTTCTTTATTTCAATTATTTTCCCGTTATTTCTAGTGTCCGAGTGGGCGTATTTGTGCGTGCGTTTGTATGTATGTAATGTTGTTTTGTCAACACGTATTCGTTAGTGTTGGCATTTAATGCATTTAGTTCATGTAGGCCTCTGACCGCCTCTGTGGTTTTGTGGTAGGGCGTCCGCCTGTAGAGCGGAATGTCCGGGGTTCAAATTCCGGCCACATCATACCCAAAAGACGTTTAAAGATGGTACTTGTTGTTACCCTGTCTATCGCTCGACATTAAGTTGTTTAAACAAGAACTGGTCTTGCTCGGAGTCAGTATACTGTGTCTGAGTGGGTATTCATGTTAAACTGCGGCATGGCATCTCAGTGGGCTAGCACTATTGATTCAGCATTAATCCGGACTAGTACAAGCAGTCACACACACGTGCATGCACGTCGCTAAATAAGTGCAATAATCTTGGACGCGACGTTTAACCCCATGTCACCTCACCTCACCTCACCTGTCTGTTTGTATGTGTGTGTGAGCGTGTAAAGTTGTGTTTTCAACGCGTGTGGATTTGGCACATAATACAGTTAGTTCATCTGTTTGTGTGAGTCTGTGTGGCTGTGTGTTTATGTCTGTGTGTGTGTGTGTGTCGTCGTGAGTGTGGGCGTGAGTGTTCGCCCGTGTGTATGAAGTGTGTAAAGGGGTTGTGTTTAGGGTATATAAAAGTAGTTATACCTCTGACCACATTAAATTTAATACCAATAAAAGTATGTACAGTTTGTTGTTGATAATCACTAATTTCCTCTTGTTTTTGATGATTCTAACAGTCTTTACATGAGCATGTCCACGCATGTACGTACACCTTTGAATAAAACTTGTATATGTACGAAAAAACATCTAGTAACTGATTTATTTACCATAAGGCGTGGCACGTTGCTCAGAATATCAACCACTGGTTTGTCTTGGCAGACTAAGAAGCCGGACTATTGCTGACTGTGGCACTCACTCACTCATTCATACAACATGACGTTCTGTGTCGACATTACGGTGACCTTGATTATTCCCGACAATAAGGCGTCTGCCCGGTGAGGAGAATGTAGGTCATATGATCATTTGGTCGTCATCATACCAAGGACGTTAACAGATGACCCTGTGGTCTGAGTGGGTATCCATGTCACACTGCGGCATGATATGTCAGTGGGCTTGCACTATAAAACCGTCATGAGTCCAGACTAGAACAAGCATGCACACACAGATACTGTACATATACACATGCACTGTCACACACACACACACAGACATACAGACACACAGACAAACAGACACACACACAGACAGACAAACGAACAAGGACACACACAGAGGAACACACACGAATACAATCACGAACACATACATTAACTCACGAACGAACACAAACAAAAACAAACATGCACACGCATATACTGTTGCTCTGAAAACAACTATCATGGTTGCTTGTTTAACAGCTGCACGTGCTACGGGTGCATTATGAAGTGGCTCAACTGATTCAGGATATTCTGAACTGCTTGAAAGTTGTTTGTATTAATGCTCACGTAAGGCTATCAGCAGCGATAACACCAATGAAACTTGTTCCTCTCTCCAAAAATGTTTAGCATATAATTTCATTATTCATTCATTTGAATTTAATCAGTGTATTTAGCTGGGTGTATCCCAACAGGAAAATACTTTATCTCAGAGGAAACTTGTTTAAATAGGTTTCACAAGTGTCGCACGTTCGTTAAACTGATGTACAGGTCATAAACAGCCCTCATGTCCAGATAGAAGTGGTGTACACTTACCTGTAAGTAATCAAACTTCCTAATTTTTAATTCGCCATGCTTAAACAATCGACTGTAAATTGACATGGAGCTTTATCAAGTTACATTTACCAAGTGCCATACTTAATATATCTGATGTACAGAAGACTTTCGAGTCTCCTCTACTTTGGCTGATCAGTGATGTTATAAAACCTTGTTTAAAAAGTTCTCTTCTCTCATTAACAATGATTATCTTTCACAGAGGCAGAATGTCAAGTTCCCCTCTGATGTTATACACTGTTGCATTTATTACCGCTGTGAGTGGGCAAGGTCAGTACCTGTTATCATCATTATACTTGTATTAATTTTCATGTCATGTGTTCCAAGTTTAAAGGGAATTATGAAAACATAACCAGCTATTGCTCATTTGATCCATAATATATGTATTACAACAGTTTTACACAAATACGAGTATATTGTGAATTATTTTATGATTCGAGAAGGATACAATCAAACTGACATTATTTGCTGAGAATTGTACAATCAGACTGACGGTATTTACAGACAATGGTACAATGAAGGATACATCATTCATAGACAATGGTACAATAAAACACACACATCATTTACAGACAACGGTACAATAAAAAATACATCATTTACCGACAATGGTACAATAAAAAAGACATGATTTACTTACAATGGTACAATAAAAAAGATATGACTTACAGACAATGGTACAATAAAAAAGACATCATTTACAGACAATGGTACAATAAAAAAGACATCATTTTAACGGCATTGGCACAATGAAGAAGACATTATTCACTGACAAGGTACAATAAAAAAGACATCATTAACTGACAATGGTACAATAAAAAAGATATCATTTACAGACAATGGTACAATAATAAAAGACATTATTTACAGACAATGGTACAATAAAAAAGACATCATTTACAGACAATGGTATAATCAAATAATCGTTATGTTCCAGATCCGGATTCCCCACTTCTGCTCACCTCACAGCCAAAGTTGGCAGAAGAAGGAGAGCTGTTTACTCTGTCATGTAGAGACAGCGGAGGTGACATAACAACAGCGCGATGGTATCGAAACTGTACTGAAATGTTTCAAACAAACAATGGATTACCAAACCAGATACTTAAAAAAGCCCAAGAACCGATCTACAGAATTATTGCTGGACGTATTACTGTAGATGCAAACTCAACAACACATCAGGTCATGCTGAAAGTCAACTTTACTCTAGATGAAGGATCTAAATGGTCATGTAGAAACGATGAAAAATCAAGTTATGAATTGACTATTTGCTTCATGGCAAACAACACTGGTAAGTGGGTGAGTGAGTGCGTGTGTTTAACGCCACTGTGTAGAGTAGTTGTGTTATATGACGGCGTCAGCTTGGTGTTGGGGGAAAGTGCTGGTAAGTAATGGATTATCTGGAGGAAATTTGACAAGAGTTTCTTCTGCCACAGAACTATATTTGTTTCACCTCCTCAACCCTCACTTTGACTTAAACTCAAATAAATCACACACACACACACACACACACACACACACACACACACACACACACACACACACTTCTCATTACACAAATTAGGTACATCGTGAATATCGCTGTGTTTACTTTTCAAACAAGGAACGCAAAACAGATACTTTTGGCCATAAAAGCAAAACTGGCGGACCAAGAGGTGCAAAATGAAGAGGTGCAATGTGTTATAGTGTCAGTGACAAATTTCCCGGATCATAATTATCACAACAAGGACATGCAAACCATGAGTCGGGAAACAGGTACGATTCTGAAAAACGCACCCAGTGCATTAACAAAAGGGCCATTGAACTGCACGTACTGCACGGACATCCTTATGGACATCCGACTGGGCCACCTACGTGAAAGGACGACCATAGCCACCTCAACCGCATTCTAAATACCCGGACTGCACAGAGTCTCCGACCAGACCGTACGAAACCGTTTAAGAGCAGCAGGTCTACGAGCAAGACGTCCTGTTCGACGCGTCATATTGAGTCGACAACATCTTCAACAATGACTGCATAAACAATATCAGTGAATGTAGGATCACATGAATATAATACTCAAGTGTTTCCTTACATTAAATCTAACATTTTGTCTCTCATACATATATACTATGTCAAATATATTAATGTTGAGACATCAATTTAAATATTTCAGTATTTGTTGCCAATTTGTCACCCTTTTCGTTATTGAATATTCTGAAGTTTACATGATGACGAATGATGTCTAACATCAGATCAAATACGATATCACGTCACAAATTGATAGCATTTACTCATTTAAACAATAGCTTGCTTTCAATGAAGTTTCTCTGAAGGTTTGGCATTTCATACGCTTTTCTTCATTTTCTTTCTTAAAATATCAATAAATGATATAAAGATTAACAAACCCAACACCTGCTATTGCGGTGTATCTGTCCCTGATTGGCTATTCTGGAATTAATGGGCGGAAAATGAAATGATAATCAGAACCCTAACACTTTAAGTTATTACAAAATGCAGTACGTCATAAGAGATTTCCTCTAATCACCTTGATAGGTTTGTTGAACAGAGTAGTCATCCACAAATCTCGTTTCAATCGACTAGATGCACGTGCTATTCGGTATTCTAATGTCCAAAATATATTTTGCTGGATAATATAGATCTCATTCAACTGATCTTCGAGTATGATAACTTTACAACGTATATAACTCATTGATTTTGCTCTATTTCTCATAACACCGTTATTCGCTGTGATTCTCGTCTTAAGATGGCAGTTGCAAATCAAGCACCATTCCCGTGACAACACCTCAATCAAGTACAGAAAACAGTAAGTGTTTAACGTTTATTATTGTACATACAGTTAGTCCGAGACATGTTAGCTATATTTACCGCAAGTTTATTCATAAAGTAACATTATTATATTCGAGATATAGCCAGCGACCTTTTCAATTTTGCACAATAACGGGCACTTTGTTCGGGCGTTAAAAATCAACTCACACCATGAAAGTCGTTTGAGTGGAAAATGAATATTAAGCGCTGGTGTTGCCGCATGTGCACTGTGCTAAATCATTACCAAATCGTCAGAGGTTTAGACCTTTCCACAGAAACATTGTCATAATACGTATGTATGGTTTAATTGGTGACCTTATGAAAGTATTACGAACATAAGGGTGATATCGATGACGGCGTAGCTATGCTGTTGTTATAAATACACATTGTGGGTTACCCAATTTCCCGATCATGATTGGCTGACATGGAATCAAATTTGCCTGTAAACTTCGATGACTGCTGAAAAGACTCGCGACCCGGAAAAACTTTCTCGAAGGAGATGCATAATGTCAGTGCAGCATCTTGCAATATTCCAAATAATGTTTAAAAAAAAAATGTTTTTCCATTGGATCAGAGGCCGACAACATGACCGCGAAACTGGTGTCGACGAACGTACGGACGGCACATTTAACACATTGATATGTTTTTCATGTATTGATATTTTAGGTATTTTAACAAACGACTGATTCGATATACCTAGGGAATTCCATAGCATGCATAATATTAAACTGAGAGTTTAGAAAATTGGAAAAAGTCGTTTTGTAGGACTGCATGCCTGTATTCAAATACAATGCTACGACCCATCACAAACCGTTCTCTAGCAAGATTATCTTGTCTCAACCATTATGTCAATCGACCAATGGGTGATCAGGAAAGCCATACGTCCTCTGAAGTTACCATTTGATCTCATTAAACTGATAAATTCTGGTATAATAAATCAGTTCCAGCTACGTTTATGTAATATACACAGCTTATTGATATTGCCCTATTTCCCATAACAACGCACGTATGTGTAATTCTGTTTTTCAGATAGCAGTGACAGATCAAGCACCATTCCCATGACAAAATGTCCAACAACTATGGAGACCAGTAAGTGTTTATGTTTATTATTGTATATACATTTTAGTCCGATACTTTGGTCTGAATAACTGAATTCAAAATATCATTGCTATATTCAACGCATCAATACATCTCCTTCGATGTACCAAGTAACGTTATTTAGATAAATTAGAATAGATTTTTTATTTGTGTGAGTTCACTGGAGAATGAACCTTCATTTCTCATGGGATATGGAGAATAATATACACTCTTAAAAAAAAGAACCGCACAGGTAGATTTTTAGTCAATTTATTGTACCTTATAAAGTCGATATATTTACTTTAATATCGTAGATACAAATATGAAATTTGGAGGTCAATAGTCACATGTTGTCGTTGTACAAAGCCATTGCAAACTGTTCATTGTCATGTCACATAAGGCCACAAGGTTGCGCTGAACTCAGTAAGTATCTCGTGTGACCGCCCCAGGTAGCAATCACGGCTCTGCATCTCCTCGGCACTGACTGGATAATTGTACGAAATCTGTCCTGCGGAATTCTGCGCCATTTTGCTTGTAACGCGTTGGCCAGTTGTGCGAGTGTCTGCGGCGTGTTCTGACGTTGACGTACACGTCGATCGAGTTAATCCCAGAGGTGTTCGATTGGGTTGAGATCTGGAGATCTCGACGGCCAGGGCAAAACGTTGATGTTGGCATTATGGAGGTAGTCTACCGTGACACGGGTTGTGTGCGGAGGATCATTGTCCCGTTTAAACCGCTCTCGTTGGCGGTCAATGAGTTGAAGAAGGTAAGGTTGAAGAATTTGATTCATGTAGCAATCTGCTGTCAAATTTCTCTGAACCACAACCAACTCAGATCTCAGCTCATTTCGCCGTCTTCCATCTCGCCGGTGAAGAAGTAATCGTGATTTTTGCTCAACCACACTCGTCTCCAGTTCCTCAAATCCCAAGGCTGTAAAGTATGGCACCAACGCAAGCGTCGCTGTAGATGGATCTGTTGCAAAACAAGAACAATAACTGGTCTTCTGGGTCGGATTTCAGCCTCGCGAAGATGGTTCCTGACAGTTTGGTCCGTTCTCCTCCTAAAACCAGGGATGCATCCTGCAGCTGTGTCATTGCGATGGCGTAGGTGGAACATTCGAATGTAGCGATCCTGTGCAGGGGTAATAACTCTTGGTCGGCCCGTTCTCGGACGGTATGCAGTCGAATTAAACAGTGTTTATCGGTCACAAAGGCGGCAAATGGTGCTGTGGTGGACGTTGAAGTGGCGTGAGCCGAAGGCTGCGATTCCCCTCTTTGGATACTCTGATCGGCAGCGCTGAGTCTCGGCATTTTCGAACTTGAAAAATGTTGACAATTTAATGACAAAGTATTGGCTTATGCATGCTTTTTTATAGTTCACTACCACGAGTTACGAATGCCATAACTTGCACGTGAATCCTGCTTTACTGTTTACCTCCATGACATTTTTGAACAAGTGGGAAATCTATGCTGTTAAAGACATTGCAAATCGACAATGGCGGCGTTTTGACGCACCCTTTGTCGAATATCAGGCCACCAACATTTTCAAATAACATGTATTCAATTCATATACCGTATATTTGGTGCAGTCAGGTTCAATGAACTACATACTACCTGTGCGTTTCTTCTTTTTTTGAAGAGTGTATAAGATAGGCATAACGGGAGTATGTCAGTAGAGAAGTAGGAACTACAATGTATGTCACCCACTTTGCAGACAGCACTGCGTCAACGACTGATCAACAAACTAAGGAAATGACGACGATGCTGTTTTCCAGCACTACAGTCGTCACTAAGGAGGGTAAAGTAGCAGGTTTGTGTACGAAGAAGATTGTAATTCAAACCAACTTGATGCCCTAATGAGCGATTTATACGCTGAATGTAACGTGACAAGAACTTTATACAGACATGCACTGCACACTATCACTTGTAAATGATATCAAAACGAAGAAATGTTCTTCTGATACAATATAAATAGAGGTTATCACGCGAGTGTGTTTGGGGGTGGTAAATATCCTACATATGGAATAAACATTGTATTTAGCGAGCCTTGGCTAATTCCTATTCAGGATATATACCACCCCCAAACACAAGCGTGATCACCTCTTTTTCATATAATGTCAATCTTTAATTCTGTGCTTTAAAATCGCTTTCCCTCTCTCACAAACATTACCGAAACATTGCGAGTTTTCCTGGAATGCGCGCATTAATATTTATTACGTCACAGGGTAAGTGATCAAGCTCCTTCCCAGCGCGTGACACCTTCGTTACACTCTCGGTAACAGCTCTGCCACCAGTGTGGGCGCGGCCATTTCAAGAATCTTGAAATTTGCCCTCCAACCCCATAAGTAGTAACGTTTATACTTTTGTTTATGTCTTTGGGAATGCCATCATATTTCAATTTGAAAAGGTTTACGACTGACCATGTTTTCCAGATGAATTTACTTTGTTGTTTTGATAATCAGATTGGTTCGAGATTGCAGATTAACGGAAAATCAACCAACTTCCCCCTTACATTCTTACTATATCAATAACAAGATAGTTTTAATAAAACAGAAATTCAAATTGACAAACGAAGAAAGTAATTTAGCAGCGATAAGTGTATTCGGCGTCACGACAGTCGTCACTTGTTTGTAAACATAACGGTCATTCGGTTGCGAGTTCAACTCCAAGCATGGTTGTGGCCACCTATTCACAGTGGGGAGTTTTGACTGGTGGCAGCGATAGTATAGAGAGCTCCGGGAACGTACTATCGCTGTGAGGAGCTTGGGTGAGTGATGTGTCAGTCGGACAGTGACAGTAGCCAATATAGTTCCAACTGAAATCTGTTTCTTATACAGTGGCGAAGCAACATATACGCAAAACAATAGTTGTTTTTAATTGCCTTTCGCGGCAATCCATCGGTCTGCCCGCTGGAGTAACTGCCCTTTGTCAAAGGGAAGCTACTCTAACCCTAGTTTATGAGACGTCACGGCCACGGTCAGATGTTGTTGACAGTCGGTCTGTCCTGTCATAACGTTAAGAAGTGTAGTCAGATGTTCACACAGCGACAAAACGAAACAAGGTAACAATTCAATCATATTTCGGCCAAATCAAACTATTTTAATTTGTGGAGAAGGTTTCAAGCCGCAGAGATCTATAAGCACAGATATGGTTACTGATCCCGCTTGGCAAGGCCTCGTGCCCTCGCAAAATTGTTTCGAAATTTATATCTCCAAAGTTGCCAAAACATATAAAATGCCTTAGCTACGTCACAGTTAGACACTGATTTTCAGTATATTAGACTGTTCTTTTGATAATGATAGCAATTATCCCTGTAGTTTATCCAGATTCCCGATGGTTAATTCTGACTCGATCGCCGAATGACGAGGGCGACGCCATGTTTGTTTATAAACAGTGAAAGTAGTCCAACTTGACCTTTGATATTTGCAACTCTATCCACATATGACCCCAACGGATATCGTTTTTATCCGTTGGCTTTATCCTGCCGAGAAACCTACCCATTACATACCCATTAAAATAGGGTACTTGCTATTTCATGTAGACTGAAACAGTCCGCTTATAATATGACTAAACCCACAAGCAATCTATTTTATGGCAAAGAACGTAGGAACCTGCGATGTTTTTTATAAATGTTTTATTGGAATTGACAAGCAGGGAGTATTGTCATTGTAAAATCACTGAAATGTGTTCATTGTTCCCTGTCCTTTCAATGTACCCAAATCTGAGGAAGAAAACTCCATACTACGAATGATTCAAAAAATATTTCTTTTGACATATTGAATTATGTTATGGAAAGGTAAAAATTATGCCGGGGATCTGCAGAAGTACCGTAAGTCCCCACGATCCCAAGTACGTTGAGCTAAGTGTGGCTGCTGGTGAGGTAGTAAAATGAGGTTTCAAAATTATTGTGACGTGTATGAACGTGTTTGTGTGGCTCCTTGCACAGGTCCGGTCTTATGTCGATGTTGTAGTCCTGGCCCATTAAGATACCATGCCGCAGTTTAACACTACCCCACTTAGACACAGTATACTGACACCGAGCCGACCAGTCCTTGTATTATCCCTTGATACCGAGCGTCAGGCAGCGTAACAACAAGTACCATCTTTTGACGTCTTTTGGTATGACGCGGCCGGGGATAGAACCACCGACCTTCCGCTGTCCGGGCAGACACTCTATCCACAAGACCATGGAGGCGGTTTGGTGGCTGGTTATCATGTTATAGCATGCCTTTTATTGTGTTGGTAGCATTCTCCAACTGGGAGCACGGGTGGTCCAGCCCTCTAAGGCGCCGCGATTCGCTGTGCAGAGTTGCGTCCCTTGGGCGCACTTGAAACCTATGATTGTTGGTTCGAATCCCGGTTCGCCCCGATTATGTTTTTAGGTTTGTCAGCACCATACCCGTGCTCGTGGGTTTAACTGAAGTGGTAAACGTCTAAGACCTGCATCACTTCGGGCTTTCCTCCCACATTAAGCGGGCACGCCGTGATATAACTGGAATACTGTTAAAAGCGGAGTTAAACCCAACTCACTCACTCATTCTCCAACTTGTTTTTTGGTTGTTTTACAGCCCTATGTTGACATGATTTCATATAAGTTACAATATGGCTGAAATACTGCCGACGTGGCTCTAAGGTTTAACTCACTCACTGATATTATTGTACTTTTGTGTTTTATAGAGTTGTTACTGCGTGTTACTATCGGCTGTGTGGCTGGTCTGGCGTTGATCATCTGTGTAGCAGTGACGGTGGGCCTTGTCTGTGTCAGGAGAATGACCGGTATATTATACTGAATATATCTTTTGTTGTAAGAAACAGAATAACGTATAAAAGGGTTAGAAAATTCGCCGGAGGTCAAATGATCTTTTTATACCCTCTTCCCAGAAGATCTAATGGAGGGCCGGAGAGATGGAGGGCCATAGATACATAATAAAGACATGGAACCTTATGGTAGTGTTATTGAAGACATGGCCACATATCTATCGAGATCAATGTCAGGTATCCCTGAAGTCAACAGCACCGGGCCTTTGCATCAATAGTCTTATGTCACAACCTTATGTGTAGGAGAAACCATGTCTCCCGAATGTGAGGGTTTACAATCTCTAGTAATCTCGAGGAGACATGGTTTGTCCAACTAATAAATCGAATCATCGCATATACAACGTTTTAAATGAAATAACTGTTTTAAAAACTCTCAAATGTATAACCTGTATCGGAGATGAAATATCGCCTGCAATCGTGAACTCGGTTCAGTGAAATCGGTGAGCTCAGCACGTTGGTTTCGCAACGGTGCGAAATCTGAACGTGCATCTCGCAATGGCACGAAATCTGCACGTGCATCTCGCAATAGCACGAAATCTGCACGTGCGTCTCGCAGGCTGAGACTTTTACACGTTTTGCTTTGACTGACGCTCATTCATTGTACATCCTGTTGCTGGCGTACGGATCTTGAAAAGGACATTCTAAAAAGCAGTGCTGCGAATCAACACCTCTGCAGCCTTGTGGTACACTCACTGGGCTACAGATATGAAGGTTGCGAGTTCGATCCTCGGGAATATAAAGAAAACACTTTTCATTTGATTTTACATTTCATTACATGTTACAATCTGAACGGAAGTTATAATGATTGTAAGCCCTCCTGCGAGGTGTTACAATCGTTGCAATACCTACTGCGAGGTGTTACTACAATTTCAAAAACTCCATATCGCGTTACACAAACAGCAAGTAGGTTTATAATAAAGCTGATCATATACCGTTATGTTGCAGGTGGACGGGCCAGTGGTAAACAGATGTAAGCAGAGGTCCAGATAACTTTTTGAGCAATTGAGTTTTTACTCTAGGGTTTCTATTTTAGTTGGGTTATAACATTCTTCATTGGGTAATCAATATTTTTTCACTCATTTATTCATCACTCTATTGGGTTTTTCCCCAAATTAGTGAACATTTTAAGATTTTAAAAAATAAAATAATGTTTTAGATGGATATAACTGATCTAAATAAATAGGCTTGACCCGGAAAGTAAATTAGCACGTAATTGTGTTTCGGAAATTAACTTCTTTGTACACATGCTGAAAAAGCTTCACTGGGAATTTACGTTTTTATGCATTTTAGTCTTTCATTTACTGCATGCGTTTCTGTACGCAAGTTAATTGAGAGTAATTGGGAATTTAATATTTTTGGGGGGTATTTGACGCAAATACGCTGCTTATCTGTAGCTTTGTGTAAGTTCACTTTGAATGAATCGCTGACACCATAAACATTGTTATGTTCACCAATATTTTGTCCTTGTCGGTACAAGAAGTCATTCATATCTTTATTCTCATCTTTTGAAATTGATTCTAGATTTTTTGATTATTGATTAATGGTAACGTGCTTGCACAGAGAACGTGATAGTTCAGAGTGCGATTCCAACTGTCACTTCAGTCCCTTGTCTCTGAAACGTATCCGTTTGGATATTGAGTGAGTGAGTTGGGTTTAACGCCACTTTTAACAGTATTCCAGTTATATCGCGGCGTGTCAGCTTAATGTGTGAGGAAAGCCCGAAGTGATGCAGGTCTCAGACGTTTACCACTTCGATGAAACCCACGAGCACGGGTATGGTGCTGACAAAACTAGAAACATAATCGGGGCGAACCGAGATTCGAACCCACAATCATAGGTTTCTGGCGTGCCCAAGGGACGCAACTCTGCACAGCGAATCGCGGCGCCTTAGACGATTGGGCCACCCGTGCCCCCTGTTTTGGATAGTGATATATTAGGGCACACAGATAGCCAAGTTGGGTCGTTTTGGCATGCCAAACACCTTGTATCGTGGATTCGAATCCAGATACGACCCAATGATGTTTCAATGTTTGTAAGTGAGCACGTTGCTTCAGCGAAGTGGTAAACGTCTGAGACCTGCATCACTTCGGGCTTTCCACCCACATTAAACTGACAAGCCGCGATATAACTGGAATACTGTTAAAACCGGTGTTAAAAAAACTCACTCCTCCCACATCAAGCTGACACGTCGTGATATAACTGGGAAACTGTTCAATGCGGCGTTAAACCCAACTCACTCCCTCACTCCTCCCACCTTAAGCTGACACCCCATCAGACAACTGAAACACTGAACATAGCCGTGTTAAACACAACTCACTCACTCTACGAATATATTATGCTATACTCGCTATCATCGAGCTCCTGTGACTCGTTTCTACATTTTGCATGTCACACTTCTTCGTCGATAAAGCATCAATATGGACCACTGCATATGGTGATATACCTGTATGGTACGGTGAAGTTTTGTTTGTGTATTTCTAGGACGCGTCAAGAAGGCCCAGAAAACCAGGGAACGGGTCCACCTGCAAATGGTATGATTTATAACATCAATTCATGAAGATCTCAACCCCATGGGACCTGAGGTAGAATCTGTCCCTGGTTACCCATATTGCTAGTTGTAAGAGGCGACCCCCGGGGACCCCGGGTCAACGTATGCTGGCCGTAAGAGGCGATTTCATTGCGGCGTTAAAAATCATGCACACACACAAAAAGATCTGAAGACTACGTTGCTTTTCATTCTTTTGGACAGACCATGTATCATTTTGACAAACGTTCTTCTTCTGACACAGTAATGCTATTTCATTAAAGTCAACTGACACCTGAAGTTGCTCATAATATCAATCACTGGTTTGTCACTTTGAAACACGGTTATTTAGAATATTGCTGAGTGCGAGTTTAACAACAGCCAATTGACACTTGAAGTTGCTCATAATATCAATCACTGGTTTGTCCCTTTGAAACACGGTTATTTAGAATATTGCTGAGTGCGAGTTTAACAACAGCCAATTGACACTTGAAGTTGCTCATAATATCAATCACTGGTTTGTCCCTTTGAAACACGGTTATTTAGAATATTGCTGAGTGCGAGTTTAACAACAGCCAATTGACACTTGAAGTTGCTCATAATATCAATCACTGGTTTGTCCCTTTGAAACACGGTTATTTAGAATATTGCTGAGTGCGAGTTTAACAACAGCCAATTGACACCTGAAGTTGCTCATAATATCAATCACTGGTTTGTCCCTTTGAAACACGGTTATTTAGAATATTGCTGAGTGCGAGTTTAACAACAGCCAATTGACACCTGAAGTTGCTCATAATATCAATCACTGGTTTGTCCCTTTGAAACACGGTTATTTAGAATATTGCTGAGTGCGAGTTTAACAACAGACAAACAAACAAACAAACAAACAAACAGACAGACAGACAGACAGACAGACAGGCAAACAAATAAACAATTGCCCAGAAGCTCGCACGTAAATACGTCATGTCTGTTTCAGCTGTTGGCTACAGCATAAGTCTCAATGAATACACCTACTGCGAGAGTGTTGGTGCGACCCCATATAGGAAAGAAATCGCAGGTAGAGTAATGATAATGATCACGTTGTTATTTCCTCTTGTCGGACAATCTGTATGTGTGGAATGAACCGTTCAACCACATACCTGGGGCCCGTTCCACAAAACAATCTTAGCGCTAAGAGGACCGCCTCAGTGCTCTAGTAGTAGAGCGTCCGCCCGGAGAGCGGAAGGTCGGGGTTCGATCCCCGGCCGCGTCATACCAAAAGACGTTAAAAGATGGTACTTGTTGTTACCCTGTCTGGCGCTCGGCATTAAGGGGCTAAAACAAGGACTGGTCGGCTCGGAGTCAGTAAACTGTGTCTGAGTGGGGTATTCATGTTAAACTGCGGCATGGTATCTCAGTGAGCTAGCACTATAAATCGGCATCAGTCCTGACTAGTACAAGCAGCCACACAACACACACACGTACATGCACGTCGCTATAAAAGTGCAATAATCTTGGACGCGACGTTAAACCCAATTTCACCTCACCTCACCTAGCGCTAAGATGATCGTAACTCCCATACTTTAACACAGGCTTACGACAATCCTAGCACTAAGATCGCTTTGTGGAACAGGCCCCTGCTCTGTCGCTGTGGTTCTTGAAATACCCGACAATGCACATGACAGTGACCTCTCCCTCAGTAATTACGAATCAGCGGACAGGCCCATCTTCCCGAGGCAAGGGCGTTAAGTGATGATAAAAGTTTAGTTCCCACCTTTGCCAGCTGGAATTCCGGAGTTACATTTGATTGGACTAACGATCCTGTGCATAGTCTCGTCAAAATCACGTAACGAACGAGACATCTAGGTCTTTATGAACATGGAATTCAACGTGCAGATTTTGGTCGACTGCAGGATTTGCAAAGCATGTGTACCACCAAATGGACGTCGATAGGTATTTTGCAAATCTTTTCATGTTTTAAATCAAGGTGCTCAAGTTATCTGGTGAACTTTGCCGGTTAAGACCCGTGTTTTTACAATAAAGATTTTGATTATCGATCTTCAGTGGCAGAGAGATTTGATTGTGACGTCATGGTAAACGATGACGTCACAGTGGAGAGTGAATGTGATGCTTTGATTGTAGCGATATATCCTAGGATATGTCAATTGATATCATCAAAGCGCTATGTCCCGTGGAAGCTAGTTTGGGATGATAAATATAGAATACTAAACGAGCTCCGTATAATATCAATTTATTGAAACGAGTGAATAGTTCCGGTGTCTGACGAGCGAAAGCGAGTCAGATACCACAAATATTCACGAGTTTCATAAAATTGGTTTTACACGGGAGCGAGTTTAGTACTTTATTTATTACTTACCATTTATAACGTATTTAGAATTATACTGTTGGGTGTTTATTAAACGGGTGATCTCTTCACGGGCAAGTAATAAAGCGATGTCGGTGTATTTATTTGTGTTCTCATGTTTTGTCGTTTCAGAAATGGTCGACAACGTCTGTTATAATGGAGGCTCTGACAGTGACGTCTCCGACACATCTTACTGGGAGGTAGGGGGAACCCTTCTATTGTCTTCCTGTCCGTTATAATTTACCCCGTGCAGAGTTGCGCCCCTTGCGCGTGCCAGAAACCTATCACTTTGGTTCGAATCCGACATTCCCCTTATCATGTAACAAGGTTTGTCTGCACCATACCCCTGCTCGTTTGTGTCACCAAAGTGGTAAACGTCAAAAACCTGCATCACTTCGGGCCTTCCTCCCACATCAACCAGACAAGCCGTGATATGACTGAAACACTGTACATGCAGTGGCACAAAATATGAGCGTACATTGAAGGAAATTAATAGACATAGCTTGTTATATTTGCGATGACCCTATCGTTTGTGACTTATTATAGTTAATATACCATGAAAGTGATGTGTTTGATGTGTTGAAATGAAAATACGGTAAACTACGGTTATAACGAACTCAAATGGACCACTAATTTTAGTTCGTTATAACCGTAGTTCGTTATAAGCATATATACAGCATGTATACATCAAATGGCCGGGACTCAAAAATAAGTTCGTTATATCGGTCAGTTCGTTATAAGCGTGTTCGTTATAACCGTAGTTTACTGTACATCATTGCAGAATCCTAATGAGAAACAGGTACATACGGTAGTTATTCAATCATAATAATAGTAATTGGCTATATATATTGCGCATATTTCCACACCACTCAGAGGGATGCTCAAAGCGATATATTACCCCAGCCACTGGATCAATGAGCACTCAAACATCTTTATTAACTCCCTGGGGAGTATACAACTGCCTGTTAGACGCTAGAAGGTTAACAACAACATCCCACCGGGTACCCATTTACCGCTGGGTGAGCAGAGGCCCACATTCGAACAAAGTCACTTGCCCATGGAGACGCCACATGTGGTACATGTGCTTGTGTGGGGCAGGAACGAAGCCCTAGAAACTCTCAGGAGTCAAGCTGACATTACAGGAATCTCCGCAACCACCGTTGCTTTACCTGATTTGTGACCTGTGACCTGTGCACGGGACCACGTGCCGCCAATTAACGAACTGTTCTCTATATTTCACAGTACAATGGCCCCGTCGCCGACAATGGTGGCACCTAAAGCAACACGTGTACTTTACCAGTGAAGTGGTGTATAACGTAAGTATTTGTCATGAAATGTTTCTATCAAGTCGTTTTCATATTTACTACTACTACTACTACTACAACTACTACTATTATTATTACTACTACTACTACTACTACTACTACTAGCCGTAAGAGGCGACTAACGGGATCGGGTGGTCAGGCTCGCTGACTTGGATGATGCATGTCATCGTATCCAACTTACGTAGAGCGATGCTCATGATGAAAATCACTGGATTGTCTGAGTGTGGCATTAAACAAAAATACAAACCAACAAACACACAAACAAAATCGTTACTACAACAACAACAACTTCTACTACTACTACTACTACTACTACTACTACTACTACTAAGTACTAGCAACCCATGCTTGCCGTAAGTGGCGACTCACTGGATCGGGTGGTCATGCTCGCTGACATAGATGATGCATGTCATCGTATCCCAATTACGATGCTCATGATGTCAACCACTGGATTTCGTAAGTGCGGCGTTAAACAAAAAAAACAAAGCAACACTCAACACCACTACTACTACTACTACTACTACTACTACCAATACCAATACCTCTTCTGCTATTCCGTTTTGACTTATTTCAATTGCCGTTTTAACTATGTTGGCCGTTTGGACTTTGATATCCATTGCCGTTACGTGTTTTGGCCGTTTTGAACTGCCCCCCTTCCGACCAGCGTAGGTCGCATAGGTCCATTTAGGGCCAAATTGGTTACAACTTATCCAAACTTAGCGTTATTGTACTTTTTTTTCCAGCAGGAAGAACTATTTCCAGACTTTTCATCTCAACTGCCGATGTCAAGCGGATTAAACAAGCAGCATTCAAATTCAAATGAAACACGATATTTGGATCCGTGTTTGACACAACTGTGTCTGGAATATTATGATATAATTCTTTCCTATACTCTCATGTACAGTAAACTACGGTTATAACGAACTCAAAGGGACCACTAATTTTAGTTCGTAATAACCGTAGTTCGTTATATGCATATATACAGCATACATGCAACAAATGGCCGGGACTAAAAAATAAGTTCGTTAGATCGGTATGTTCGTTATAAGCGTGTTCGTTATAAACGTAGTTTACCACGCTCGCGCCATTTCATAATGATTTGATACGTTAGGTTATACTCATGTGTGTTTATCAGTACAACATATCGTTAATGTATTTGTATATTTGTTTACAATTAACAAGCCTACCTAATGATAGAATAAAACGATAAAGTTAATAGAAATATTAACTGGAGTGGAACCCCGTTAATCTGGACACCTCCGTTTTGTATACAAACGTCCCAATAACTGAAAATACGGATATCTAAATCAGAACGGAGTTGCCTCCCCTATCGCCTGTCCTCCCGTCAGAATTCTAAGACGTATACAACAATAGGTTATAACAGTGAAAACAGACCGACAGAGCCCACACATCACATACACGGATGCTCCCACCACCTGTCAAACTGATCAGTTTTACGGAAGCAGTTGTTGGCGATCGTGTAAGTTACAGCGTGCGGGGACCGCCTCCGTGGTCTAGTGGTAGAGCGTCCGCCCGGAGTAGTATATAACGGGTCGCCAGAGGGCCATTTCTCCACAGGCGCAACACAGACGTCGCGTGATGACGCACGCCCGTCTTCCTCGACAGGAGTGTCGGTTAGTAGGGGTAAGTTATATGCGAGCCCAGTGCCCGGAGAGCGGAAGGTACGGGGCTCTATCCCCGGCCGCGTCATACCAAAAGACGTTAAAAGATGGTACTTGTTGTTACCCTGTCTGGCGCTCGACATAAAAGGGCTAAAACAAGGACTGGTTGGCTCGGAGTCAGTATACAGTGTCTGAGTGGGGTATTCATGTTAAATTGCAGCATGGTATTTCAGTGTACTAGCACTATAAATCGGCATCAGTCCGGACTAGTACAAGCAGTCACACACACACACGTGCATGCACGTCGCTATATAGGTGCAATAATCTTGGACGCGACGTTAAACCCAATTTCACCTCACCTCACCTAAGCGTGCGGCCTTTACCTGTGAGTAAGTGAGTGAGTTTGGTTTTACGCCGCTTTTAGCAATATTCCAGCAATATCACGACGGGGGACACCAGAAATGGGCTTCACACATTGTATCCATGTCGGGATTCGAACCTGGGTCTTCGGCGTGACGAGCGAACGCTTTAACCACTAGGCTACCCGACCACCCTTTACCTGTGAGGACTTGTCTTAAACTTATCTGCTCAGTGGCCAGATTCATTTAACGCACAGATATAGCCCAAGCATCCATCTGTTGGCCGTGCAATTTCATGAAGCCTCGTTCAACATGACATCAGGCTGTACTTATGTATTGTATTAACTTCTATTGTTTTATCATTTAGTTTAACTACATTCTTGCTTGAATTTCTGTCTGCCCTCAACGATTCGCTCTCAACGCAATCTTCGTCAATAATATGTATAAAGTATATATGTCTTTGAAGCTACTTGTTGAACACATTTGCAGTGAGAGTCTGTGCAGTGAGAGTCTGTGATTGTTATCGCCCTTGCCGGGGGAACGGGTGGCCCAGTCGTCTAAGATGCCGCGATTCGCTGTGCAGAGTTGCGTCCCTTGGGCACGCCAGAAACCTATAATTGGGGTTCGAATCCCGGTTCGCCCCGATTATGTTTCTAGGTTTCTCAACACCATACCCGTGCTCGTGGGTTTCACCGAAGTGGTAAACGTCTGAGACCTGCATCACTTCGGGCTTTCCTCCCAAATTAAGCTGACACGCCGCGATATAACTGGAAGACTGTTAAAAGTCTTAAAACCCAACTCACTCACTCACTATAGCCCTTGCTACCTGAAATAGAATCGTGATTCCAGTCCATGTTTAGATCGGCAGTCATGTGACTGCGAGCGGCTATATTTTGTAGCGCGTGCATCGTGCGTTCATTAATAGCATCTTCCCGGGACAAGGGAGATAACTGACATTTACAGTCAGTTAACTCCCTTGCCTCGGGAAGCTTGTTGACAGCAGGAAGTGAATGAAAACAAATGCAGATGTAGTATTTAAACTGATATTGACACGCCATGATGTTTATCGCTTGCCAAATGGATATTTCTTGAAAAGCGCACTTTGCTATTTTTGTCATTCATTGCTATTTTTGTCATTCATTGCTATTTTTGTCATGTTCCTTATCTCCGGAATGGCCTCTTTCCACTTTATTTATCTTCCCAAGGCAAGGGAGGTAACTGACTAAATAAAGTCCAGTTTCCACCCTTGCCGAACTAGGCTGGTATGATGGAGTAACATTTTGGCTGGACTAACGAGTCTATGCATAGTCCAATCAAAATCGTGCAGATTTTGGTCGATTGCAGTATTTGCAAAGCATGTGCACCGCCAACTCGTTGTCAACAGATATTTTCCAAATCTTTTCATGTTTTTAATCAAGGTGCTAACGTGATTTGATGCATTTCGAGATGTAAGACCAATTTTATCACAATATAGACCTTGATTATCGATTAGATCGTCTTGACTGGGCGCCACTGTTTTGTTGGAAGCAAATGCAAGTGATACGAGAGGTGGAATCTGATTGGTCTAAAGGAGAGGCTTAGAAGGGACATAACTCGTAATAGCAACTGGTGGCGCTCCGACGGAGCCCAGGAATCCCAGCCTAGTTCGGCAAGGGTGGAAACTGGACTTTTAAAGTCTGTTAACTCTCTTGCCTCGGGAAGATGACTTTATAGGTACCGGCACACTTGCAGCTATCTTCCTGCATTTAGCATCGCGATGTTTCGTGATTCTATTTCAACTGGCGAGGGCAATTAGTACAGAACCTTGACACCATTCTGTCCCTCCTTTCACATTATTCCACACCCCACACCCATCTTTAATAAGTTTTACCTTGAATCATATATAGAGAATTTCAACCGAGTGTCTTTTGATATCAGGGGCGGTCGGGTAGCCTAGTGGTTAAAGCGTTCGCTCCTCACGCCGAAGACCCGGGTTCGATTCCCGACATGGGTACAATGTTTGAAGCCTATTTCTGGTGTCCCCCGCCGTGATATTGCTGGAATATTGCTAAAAGCGGCGTAAAACCAAACTCACTCACTCACTCACCCACTCACCTACCAACCCACCCACCCACTCACTCACTCACTCACTTTTGATATCAGGTAAATGAACACGAGTTGGTAAAATTTTAAACCTCCGAGGTTTGCTTTTCAACGATTGTTGATATCTTTGATATCAAAAGACATGAAGGTGAGATTCTGCTTAGCATCCAAAATCATTCCGCCAAATTTTCTTTTCATTTCAGTGGAAGCCAGAAATTAGTGTTCTAGCAACATGTTATTTATTACAAACTTGTAGCTTACAAATTATTATTTTTATATGTATTCACGTAGTATTAGTTTTTGTTTGTTTTTTCAATTTTCAACACGTTCTTTTAAGGCTCAATCAATTTACTTCGCGGAGTAATACGAACTCGTCTATGTGAGTTAGTAAGTGAGAGTGTTTGTTTGTTTGTTTTTTAACGAGACACTCAGCGATATGCCAGCTATATGACGGCGGTCTGTAAATAACCGGACCCGTGAAGATCCAGGGTAGAATACGTCTTCAGCAATCCATGCTTGCCGTAAAAGGCGACTATGCTTGTCGTAAAAGGCGACTAACGGGATCGGGTGGTCAGGCTCGCTGACTTGGTTGATGCATGTCATTGATCCCAATTGCGTGGATCGATGCCCATGATATTAATCACTAGATTGTCTGGTCCAGACTCGATTATTTACAGACGGCCGTCATTTAGCTGGAATATTGCTGAGTGCGGCGTTAAACAACAAACCAAACCAACTGTAAATAACCGAGTCTGGACCAGACAATCCAGTGACTGACTTCAGGAGCAACGATCCCGCTAGTCGTCTCTTTCGAAAAGCATAGTCGCCTTCGCGGGAAGAGAGTGTGACTGTGTGTGTACATATATGTGTGAGTAGGTGTGTGTGCGCTTGTATATCTATCTGTGTGGTATAAAATTTCATGTTTAAGGAACACAAAGGCAGTATACTGCTGACTTCATTAACTACAATGCCATTGAAAGCATGTACAGTTTGTTGTTCGTAATCACTTATTTCCGATTGAGTTTGGGGTTAATTGTAACAGCCGTTACCAGGACATTTCCACAAATGTACCGACATGTTTGAAATAAATATTTTATATGCACAACACAATATCTAGTAACTGAGTTTTCAATGGACCAGGCAGGAACATCCGATATACCGTTACAACGTGCAGATCAACAGAGCCGTACAAGCTGAATGTGCTGGCAAGTGAGTGAGTGAGTTGGGTTTAACGCCGCTTTTAACAGTCTTCCAGTTATATCACGGCGTGTCAGCTTAATGTGGGAGGAAAGCCCGAAGTGATGCAGGTCTCAGACGTTTACCACTTCGGTGAAACCCACGAGCACGGCTATGGTGCTGACAAACCTAGAAATATAATCGGGGCGAACCGGGATTCGAACCCACAATCATAGGTTTCCGGCGTGCCCAAGGGACGCAACTCTGCACAGCGAATCGCGGCGCCTTAGACGACTGGGCCCCCCGTGCCCCCCGTGCCCCCCGTTGTGGGTGGAAGCGGGCTTCCACTGCATACATGATCCTCCTAATGTTCAATTACGTTAAAATCAGACAAAAACCTGCTTTGACAGATTATACAGTTAATGCAATCAAAGGTTGGTCCGACCAATAGAATCAGTCCACGGGGTTGTTTGAATTATCAAGGAATTTCGGCCTTGAACGACAAATAATCTGCCATCACTCTACCTACTTCAACATAGACTTATAACGATTGTCAACAAGAGTCATCAGAAAGATGACATATCCCCCCGGCAGCTGTCTGTAAAGTAACCACAAGTAAATGTGAAATTCTGTATGTAATGAGTCAAGAATATTCTTTAAGAAGCATACATTGTTTACCAACGAAAGATCCACCATGGTCGCATATGAAATGGAAAGTAAAACGTGTGTTTCTGTGGTGTTTTTTTATGCAAACAAATTACAAATTACAAGATACAAGATACAAGCGTATAGTCAACGAAGTCATCTATATCCCCCACCCATTTTAACACGTTATGGTCCCAAACCAGGTAACTGAACCATTTCTCTTAGCCCATGTCAAAATAGCTGCAATGGAAATTCTAAAATAAACATTTCTAAAACTCCCTAATATCAAATGGCACCTGTTCAGTATGTACTTTATATATGGACATGCAATGTTTGGCAAGGAAATATTTAAGAGTTTATTTGTTATACTCCATAAGTGAACCAACCCTATATGAAAACTTAAATCCAACTTGTTGCCATGGAAACGTAAATTTTTTTAAAAAAATTTCCTAAATAGCAAAAGGCACCAGTTCAGTATGTGCCTGGTAGACATGCAAAGTTTTGTAAGAAAGTATTAAACGGTTTTTGAGTTATGCTCCGGAAACGAACACCACCCTTATAGAACCTAAGTCCAACTTGTTGCCATGTAAACGTAGAAAATAAAAATTTCTAAAATTCCTAAATAGCAAAAGGCACCAGTTCAGCATGAGTCTGATAGACATGCAAAGTTTTGTAAGAAAGTTTTGAATGGGTTTTGAGTTATGCTCCAGAAACGAACTCTACCCTGTAGAACCTAAGTCCAACTGGTTGCCATGGAAACGTAAAAAATAAATAATTTTTTCCCCCCTTAATAGCAAAAGGCACCAGTTCAGTATGTGCCTGGTAGACATGCAAAGTTTTGTAAGAAAGTATTTAACGGTTTTTGAGTTACACTCCGGAAACGAACACCACCCTTATAGAACCGAAGTCCAACTTGTTACCATGGAAACGTAAAAAATATAAATTTATAATATTCCTAAATAGCAAAAGGTACAACTTCAGTATGTGACTGATAGATATGCCAAGTTTCGATCAAATACACTGAATTATTTTCGAGTTCTGCCCCAGAAAAGGAAATGATTACGGACGGACAGACAGACTGGCTGATCGCTATATCCCCCCCGCATTATATTCCGGGGGGATAATAATGGATCAAGTGATGTGTGTTTCTGTTAATATTTGGCGTGTAATATAGATCATGTTGGTGATGAGTTTGATGCAAGGTAGTGCAATGCTGTGCTGACCCTCCAGTTCAAAACCTGAATGAACCAGGCTGAGCACCAGGAGAAGAAGAAGGAGAAGAAGGAGTGAGTGAGTGTGTGAGTATGGTTTTATGCCGCTTTTAGCAATATTCCAGCAATATCACGGCAGGGGGCACCAGAAATGGGCTTCACACAATGTACCCATGTCGGGAATCGAACCCGGGTCTTCGGCGTGACGAGCGAACGCTTTAACCACTAGGCTACCCGACCGCCCCCGGAGAAGAAGGAGAACATTTATAATGCACCAGATTCCATTCACCAAGCGGATGCTAGTAGCACTACACTATTATTACCCCGGTCAATGGATCAGTGAACACTCGATTTTCATTCTCAGCTCCCTGGGTAGTATACAACCCAAGCTGCCTGAGGTGCTAGGTTAACAGCCACATTACCATCTCATCCTACCGGTACCCATTACTGCTGGGTGAACAGATCCCAATGTTGTTAATCAAGAATCTGATCAATGCACCATCAATGTTTTTATACTTTTTCGCATGAGGTCAATAAATCTGTGCCTATTGTTCTTGTCGAATTCATTATTTGTGTGATGGTACTCCCAGGCGGTTTGTCAGTTTACTACTCTATTGTCATGTTCCCAACAATGAATTACACCAGCCACCGTTTAATGAATCACATGTCCGAAAAAGTGGGTGGTGCTTTATTAATGCCCATGAGTATGGTCACATAGGCTAAGAGAAGAGTGTCCACCTGGATCTGCCAGAAAAGAAAAACACAACAAATCAATCTCTGAATGAAATTTTATTTACAGCTTACAAGTTTTGACTGCGCTGACAACCAAAGACAAGAGAGACGAACAGTGTACAAATGAACTTTCTTACAAATATCCAATAGGACTGTTGACTAATTCCACTGTTACCTAACTGAAAGGCACCATGCATGAGATAACAGCCAGCCAGGATCCAGAACCAGTTCCTCCGATCTCCTCATGGCCTGGCTCTGTCAGTCGTCCCACACAATTACAGAATAGAGAAGTTGTTGAACAGGAATACCATTTCAAAGATATATAGCAAGTTTGTGATGGAATGAAGAAAAATTAGAACACAGTTTAACCAAAGAGCTGCCAGGACCACGGACGATCACTCTGGTTCATGTCCTGGTATGTACACGACGACTTCGAAACAGACATCACAGAAATAGTGTGTAACTATCAGCGGCAGTCATAAAAAGTGGAGGTCACATGACTCGTGTCACATGACCAGCATGACATCACATACTGTACATACATACATTCCACTTGGTGCCTGACTACCATGGCAGCAAAAGATACATCGTGTTGAAGATATCTGCAGGGTTCGAAGTTAAGTAAATTAATATCATCATCTGGAATTTCCATTGATAAATGTCAAGAAAGTAATTAAGACAAAGTATGCAATACACAGCAACAACTGTGGGATTAGATGATCTGCCTTAATTTCCAACCCTGTAGTCTGTCCTCTTGGGCACCAGGGCCCACTTGCACAAAGCGATCTTAGCGCTAAGACTATTGTAAGCCTATGCTAAAGTATGGGAGTTACGATCATCTTAGCGCTAAGATCGCTTTGTGCAAGTGGGCACCTGGACCAGGAGGGATTTCTGGCTATCACCAACCAGTGTTAGGAAGCAAAGGGGCTCCTTGGGTCTTCATGGTAATATAACTTGCCGTATTCGACGTAATAAGCGCCCAGGGCGCTCTCAAAATTACAAATAGGGGGCTCTTATTAGAATATTATTTTGGTGGAAAAAACAGAGTTGAAAGATAAATTTCGTGGTTTATGCTGACGGGCTGACTGTTATATACGACAGATATATTTTTCCAGAATTTAATTGCCCATAATTAAGAGTGCATATAACACACGAGTGCGTATTATACACGAATAAATAGGTCTTGTGCTTGTGTACATTGATCAATCTGAAGGGGTGCTAACTGGGATTGTTCACTTGCCAATATATTAGCAAATATCGCCGTGGGCGCTTATTACGTCGAATACGGTAATAACTTTTAACATTAGGGTCATGACAAGGGCCACTGGATTTTCATGCTTAGTTTTGGCCACTGGTAACAAACGTAAAAACTTGGCAGGAGCAACAGTGAATCAATGTTATGACAGAGAAGTCATGCTCCTGCATAAGGTTGACTCATCCATGAGTCTTCATAACACATGCATTCTGCAAAGACCTGATACAATGTACACAATACATGTTTATTTCTCGACAGGACCGACTTGAAAAATAGCCATGGAGCAACAAAATAGCATTTCCTTAAGACCAAATGATTATGCAAAGTGCAGTGGTTTTGTCTCCTTCTCTGACATAGCAGCTGAAGTTCCCAAACCGAGATCCGCCAAACTGAGAATGAACATGAAAGAGTAGCATAAAGCAGCATTTCTCTGAAACATATCTATACACAAAACATGGCCAGCTTGTAATACAGTGCAAATGGTCTTCAGGATTGGAAAACAATGACTGTTGGATGCAGTTGATTTCCAGATGGTATCAACCAAATGGAAACTGTCAGAGCCAGAGATCAGCTCCGGCTCCGGATATGTTTCAACTGAAAGAGATGACTAAATCCTGCCCCACCCTACAACGATGACCCCCCCCGACACAAGCAGCTTCATCATGTTCTCACAACAGTCATGCATGCAAGGACACGGTTGACGTAAGTGAACTTTGACCCAGTGGTCATTTACACACAGCAAGCTATTTACAACTATATAATTACAAGTAGGTTTATATATATATATATTCCTATATACATTTAAAACTTCCAAACATACAATGGTTAAAAATGGCAGAGCATTTTCTACCTGACGTTCGGGAATATGTTAAGATGCAGTCTAGGTCAACTTGGGACACCAGGTGTTAAACTGGACAGACATGTGCAGGTAGCCACGGGAGAATGGACACAAACTTTCCTCTTGTTACAGACTAGACGTGATCATGTGGGTTAAACAAGCAGAATGCAATTCAATCTACTCTGAGATCATGTAATTTGGGTGTACCAGGTGGAACTGTTGGGCCCAGATGGTGGATCTTATAAAAGTATTAAGTACAAAAGTGATCTATGCACTGGACTACATAATGGGAATGCAAGACCTTTTCGGCTTTGTACAGTACACAAGCTTACAATGTAATCAGTGCAGCTCATTCTCGACAATGATGAGGATGTACAGATCAGAGTTGGTTGATAATACTACAGACTGCAGAGGAGCATAACAAAACAACAGAGATTTAACAAAGGATAAAACTCGGCTAAAAAGACAAAAGTGTTTCCATTTGTGAATGCAATCAGTAACAAGTGAACCTAAAATCTGGATGCGTACAGTGGAAACCTAAAACTCTCAAATGCCATTTACTATAGGGCAGTGGTAATGATGTCTTCATTGATACTAGTGACAGGAATTATGCTTATGTCATAATCCTCATCAGAACTGATTGCTTGGACCCAGACGACTCACCATCAATCATAGTTGTCCATGCATTCAGCTTTAAATTTGACATTAATCACTTCCCATCATATCATTATATTGCGCTTGAACATCTAACAGTGCTCCAGGAATATGTTTTTGCCATTACAGAATAGAAAGAGACGTTTCATTAACAAAAGTTCACTACTGCTGAAAGTTTCTTGCCACTGACATGAGTATACAATGCTATGCAATTGAAGTTTGATATTATTCTGGCATCAAACGATGAAGTTGGGACAATGGCTGACTGTTTGAATGAAGGAAGTGCTCGTCTACCTCTCGATTCTATACTATGATCGACTACTTGGTTGCAGTGTGAAATAGTCTCCAAATATTGCTGGCCAAGTGGGCTGATTGTCAGTTACTTACTAGCCAGTTTCATATTTCACAAACTCAAAAATGCAAGTTTATTTTTCATCCTCACAATGTGCAACATGGATAGCCACATCAATTAATTATTGATATCAATTTTATCTTATTTTATTTTTGATGGTTGTATTGCTCTACAGAAATGTACGAATTTTTAAATATTTTAATCAACTAAAAGGTGTGCTTAAAAAAAACCTTTTAAACTTTAAGTAGCCGGTCAGACTTGGGACATTTAACAACGCCTAAGCTGACCATAATCTTGCTGGCCATGGGTTGCAGGAAGGCAGATATTTTGTACACTGCTTGGTCAGACGAAGTGCCTGACTTCAATCAAACGGCATACACTGACAGTGATGCATCAACAGGGCTTCTAGAAATTCCAGGTCTTATGGTGTAACTTTACTTAATGAATAGGCAAGTAGCCGTGAATGTTACAAACCATAACAAAAGTATCCATACCAAGTATCATGACTTTATAATTGAGTTCTTAATTAAAAGGCTTTCCAATATGTTGATTATTCTGCATAATCAAACAGTTAGTTCAGGGGTCCATTTAACTACTGGCCCGTTGGGCCATGGCCAGTTAAAACTACAAAGGGCTTGCTGAAAAGTATCATAGATGGCCCGTCTGGCTAGTCAAAATTTCACCCCTTCTCCATGTACTTATAATTTTATTAATTGGACACTGCTTGTGAATCATGTAATTTCGATGAGAAAATACAAAGGGGTGATGTGGTCGTGTGAACAGTCAACTTAAACAAAGATATATGTCGATCATCGCGAATGACAACCGGCCGCCACTTTGTAATGTGTACATCATCTTTATTTGCTCATAAATGGCCATGAATTGAGGCAAATGGAAGGCAAATGGAAGCCAAGATTTATTCTCAGGAAAAAAGGTGTTTCAGGGGTGAGGAGTTCTCAATTTTTCAGAGCCCCGCTAGATGGCTGCGCGTCCTCAGGTTAGGGCACTTCGCGGCCTCCACCATTTAGTTGTAGGCCAGTTAGTTTGGAGAAGGGCCAGTAACATTTTAAGGGAGCATGTATGCTGGCTAGTCATATTTGTTGGTAATCTACCCCTGTAATTGTATGAACAAATCCAGGAACAACACAGCTTTAGACACTTGATCACATTGTTGTGAAATTTGGAACATATTTCATCATGACAGGATATCATTTCTGACATGTCTCGTCAAGAAAAAGTGCAGTTCATTTCAAAAGGCAAGCAATCTCTTAATATACCTTTTGATTCATGTATCAATTTGGTTGGTGCTCCCTCCCTATCTGAATAACCACTGTCAGCAGATAGGATGATTAGTGCATCCGATGTGGAGTAAGTATCTAGTCCAAATCAGGTCAATTTACAGACAATGTGTAGCTGTCAAAAGTTGATGTGTAAAATACAAGCTAAAACTAAATCACACTTCAATCACATAAGCTGAATGTAGATTTACCCAACCTGTAAGTCTGTTATTTCATAGCATGTGTTCTTACTCAATACCAACAGATATTTGAACACAAGTTCTACCCTGATCATTAACATGTCGTTTTGGTATCCGCCTACTTCTCACTCAGTATTGAGGGGATCTACATGAGAAACAGATGGGCCACAAGCACAGGGGCCATATCCTACAACAGATGGCAATATACTCACAGCATCTGATTGGCTGATTATAGACCCACTAGTCTTAACCACAAAGAATATTTCTGGTTACAATACATAAATACTTGATTAACCTTGTACGTTTTTGCTACTTTTACACTAGAAAAAAAAAAGTGTCTTGCATATGTAATGTGGAAGTTGATTAAATATAACTCCTTCATCGACTGAAACAATTTCATAACCATGACAACAGCAGAAAGAATTTGACAGGTGTATAAAGTGCATGGTAGGACACCAAATACCCTGAAATTACCCCCAAACAATCAAGAAATACCCCTCAACACATGTCAGTAAGGTTCATAGAGTCGTGACTGTGGTGTCAAAATGACCCGTGTGTATTTTCACTGACAATAACTAATGTCTTATCCAGCATTTGTATAGTGACTATGGCCACTGTGAAGGATCCCAGGGGCTTCGTTATCCTAAGTAATAGAAAGCTGGCACTGTACATGTCAGTACCTGGTGAAATGGTGAAATGCAGTACCATACTCAATCCACACACCCCGATACACACCCACACGCACACACACACCCTGTCACACTACATGGAAACACTCTCTCCGGATTCACAAGTACAGACTTAAAAACAGTCAACATAATCAACAAGTTTAATATACTGGTAAAAATATGGCTTGATTGGATCTCATTGAATTCCAAGCAACCTACAATTCCAGCCTCCTCGATCGGTTGATGAAGTTGGCTGGCCCAAAGAGATGGGCAGGCTACACAAGAGTTGCAGTAGACGTTGGTGTGTGTCCGTGCCGGGATGAAGATGATGGTTCACAGTGTTGACCAGTGACTCACCACATTGACCACAGTTTCTGACAACACAAGGTGGAGAAGCTGGACTGGACACGAGTACAGCTGTCCCAATGCCCAATACTGCACAGACAGAGATGAATAAGTCAGTCCAACATTTCTTCACAACTACACATAACAACCCTAATTCCCTTCAGCAACAATGGCTAGCAATTAACCATACAGATGCATGTCACAGCCTCCATTCAAAATCTGTTTCTACGAGGAACAACTCTGACAGTCACTGCAAAATATTCAGAGTTCTGTCCCCTTTCACTGCAACAAGTATCCATGAGCCTAAAATCATTGTACGTGTATGGCATCAGCACATGAACTCTGCTCCAACTCAACACTACCGAGCATGATCTAGTCGAGTCAGAAAGGGTGTCTCCCGTCCTCGTCCTCTTCGTATCATACACTCTCTTGTCCTCTGTCCCATCACATCCCACCAGGAGCTCACCGTCCTCCTGCTGCAGTAGCTATCTCAACAACAGTGCACAGCAAGCGACCGGACATTCAACATCCAGCCCTTAATTCATGGTGGGTGTATTGCAACAAGTCAACAAGTCATGATTGTAACATGTGATTCATATAAATAATAGTTTGGGTGGTAACCTAGTTGGAGCCTGCCTCATGCAGAGGTTCCAGCGGCCGCTGCAGCCCCTTGTGACGATGTGGCATCTCCGCCTGGGTTTTGTGATTTGCTGTCGTCTCCGACTTGGTCTGTTGACGAGTTGCTTTCACCATTTCTCACGTGGGGAGGTATTAAGGTTGCGTTAAGAGTTGGGGCAATACTCAGTTCTGAAAGAGAATCACGATTACATGAGTGAGTGAATGAGTGATTACAACAGAATGCTGTATCAGCAATCTTGCACCTGTGCGGAGTGATTTCAGCGGAAGAAACTAACAGTTTCAGTCCACTAGTCCTTATAATGATAGCATATAGCAAAACCTTTAAAAATGTCAAAATTCTACTAGTCCTTAGGATACCTTTACTATTGGGCAGATTGGCAAGGACTATAGGACTAGTGCCAATTTCTAACCCTGGATTTTATCACAGAAAATATCATCAAAGAGGTACAGAATGTCTACATTCCCAAGCCAGTCTGCCTCAGGGTAGCTAACATCATAGGTGACATGATGTGTATGATCACAAATTCTAACAGTTTGAGCCAGATGACTCTTACACCCCTGATGGAATCTCACAGGCTTAGAGCTTAACATCAGCACTCATTTTTTGAGTCTACTACCCGAACCTCTCATTTAATATCACTTTACAAAAGATCTTAGTGTTAATGCATGGATGGATTCTTATTAGTAAAGGAGTGAGTGAGTGAGTACGGTTTTACGCCGCTTTTAGCAATATTCCAGCAATATCACGGCAGGGGACACCAGAAATGGGCTTCACACATTGTACCAATGTCGGGAATCGAACCCGGGTCTTCGGCGTGACGAGCTAACGCTTTAACCACTAGGCTACCCGAAGGCCCTATTAGTAAAGGAAACAAGACTGAAAGAAATATTACAAGACAAGGACTTCAGACCCAGGGATAATTGATAATTATTCTAGGGTGGGGCCTTGTGCTGTTAGACACTAAATTTGAAAAAAGGCCCACATTTTCAAATACAATGGGGCATTTTAACACTGTGCTGTATGGGCGTACCACTTGATTATTTGTAATTTTCACATAAAGAGCCCATGGCAGAAAATTACTAGTGAACCCTGCGGACTCATGGCAAGTCAGAGACTTCAAAAATCCAGTGACTGATATTGTGAGCAACGATTCAAAGTGTCAGGGTACAATGACACGCAATCAACCAAGTCACATAGCCTTACTCACAACCTCTTATCACAGCTTGAGGGGGACCAATTCCAACCCAAACTCCCCTGTATGCCTACAGTTTAACATCACTATGTGTCTAGTAGGGCTGGGACGAGTCCAAATTTACTACCCGTGTACCCGACCCCCTATTACCCGACCCTACCCGGGTACCCACTGTAGGTCTCAAGAGTTGAGAACACAATGTCTAATTGGGAATAGTTTAACTGTAGCCTTGGCAAAAACTATTTAGATACATGTATGAAACAAGAGAGTATATAATAGATATAGGGTCTCTTATGAAACAATCAAATCATGCGTACAAATCAGCTTTATCTTTACTCAAACATATACAAGTCAAAAGGAATGTGTGCATCATCATAAAAAAATGAGAACATTAGTGACTTGGAGTGTAACCACTGAGCTCTAGCGAGTTTTTGTTATTAAACAATATGTCACGTGACCAACCACGGGTCCGGGTAGTACTGTGGGCACCTACTCAGGACCCACCTGACCCGAGTACCCGAGTTACCCGTCCCAGCCCTAGCGTCTGGTACAAGCTCCTCCTCACCTTCTTGTGTGAAGTTGAAAAGTGGGGGTAAGGGTTTTTGGTTAGGCAGTCTTGTTGCTGGGTCCCTCAGTTCGTGGAAGAAGGCGTGTGCGCAGGCTTCCAGGGGGGAGATACGACTTGACGGGGTGTACTCCAGTAGCCTGCTCACCAGGTTAATAGCCTCGGCTGGAGTTCGCTGTCTAAAAACCTTCAAGAAAATTGAAAAGGAAAACTCCCGAATTATCACAGAACAGCCAGACCATGCTCGAACACCCACCACCAAAACACCTGACTTACATCTGGTTGTCATGTTACCCTGACATGGATACCCTACAGCAGTGCGTGGCATTCTACATTAACAAGTAAGTCTTATCTTATGCCAGCGATAGAAACTAAGTTTTAGTCCACTAATCCTTATAACAAAGCAGAACCTTTAAATGGGCAAATTTCTAGTAGTCCTTTCGATACCTTAACTATCCGGCAGTTTGGCAAGAACTATAGGACAGGGATCCCGAAACTTGTCTGTATGCCGGACTTGACCGACTGTGACTGTTTTTAGCAACATTCCAGCAATATTACGGCGAGGGACACCAGAAATGGGCTTCACACATGGTACCCGTGTGGGGAATTGAAGTGTGACAAGCGAACGCCTTAACCAACCAGGCTACCCCGCCGCCGCTGGGTTTAACGACCCAAGTCATATATTCAATCATACTGTGAGGAAAATTCAACAAAATCTTCAGTCATCACATCAAAGAACATTCAACATGTTCAATGTAATCAGCAAAATATTTTCTTTTTAACAGATCTTCACAAGAAGTTTGGTGTTCTCTGTGTCTCTCAAATGACAAAATACAACAACTTTGCTATATATTATTGGAAATTAGCGATTTTGCAGAGACGAATGGCAACATTTATCAGTGTTTGAGGACATTCTTCAGTAGTATTACCAAATTTGAAAGAGCTTATCAAGACATCTTAGAATACAATCAGTTAATGTCCTAGATTATTTTAATCCTGAATTAGTGTGTTATGAATGATATGCCAAACAATGTGTGTTTATTAGATTGTTACAAAATAAAGCTGCAAACATATTTGACTAATCTGTGAATAACAACAGCTACAACAACATGCTTAAGGAGCATTCAAGTTTGAAAAAATACACATGCTTCAGATAGCAAACAAACTGACAGCCAAGCAAAGTGTGTATTAACATGCAACTTCACAGAAAGATCACTCTGGAAAAAATTAGTAGCTTGGCATAATGAACAATTTTGATCAAAACATTTCAGAACTTATATTTTGGGGTTGGGGCTTATTATATTTTTAAAAAAAAAAAAAAGTGTGGTGTGAATAGATTGGCAGTTCAGCAGCATGGGACATAATCAAACATACATATACCAATTTTGGTTCTTGTAATAGTGATACGACAGCTGGTCTGTGCAATTCTTTCCTTCCAGCAGTAAATTTCTTTTTAAGCTTTAACCCTGCCTGTACCCACTGTGTTTAAAATGAACTGAACTAAGTAACTTCAGTCATGCTTGTCAAGTATTTAGATTAATGAGATCAATGTATCTACAAATCTCAGTGTTGGAAATTAAGAATGAAAGTCAAGGGGCCAGACAACTGAGAGACATATTGTGAACATCTATACACGCCATTGGGGTACAATGACACGTCAGCAACCGGGTCACTGAACCTGACCACATGATCCATCTTGTTGGCTCTTATGTGAGGTGAAATGGGGTTTAACGTCGCGTCCAAGATTATTGCACTTATATAGCGACGTGCATGTACGTGTGTGTGTTTGTGTGGCTGCTTGTACTAGTCTGGACTGATGCCGATTTATAGTGCTAGCTCACTGAGATACCATGCTGCAGTTTAACATGAATACCCCACTCAGACACAGTATACTGACTCCGAGCCGACCAGTCCTTGTTTTAGCCCTTTAATGCCGAGCGCCAGACAGGGTAACAACAAATACCATCTTTTAACGTCTTTTGGTATGGCGCGGTCGGGGATCGAACCCCGGACCTTCCGCTCTCCGGGCGGACGCTCTACCACTAGACCACGGAGGCGGTCATTGGCTCCAAGACCACGTAGGCTGCTGGGGACCTATTCTAACCCTGAGTCCCCATGAGATTCAACGACCAAAGAATGCCACATAGTTTCTAACACTGCCAGTTCCTACAGGACATCCATTAGTTGCTAGGCTAACTCAGAGGGTATCAACACAACAAACCAGAAGCAAGCAGAACCAAAATTCACACTGCACATCGGGGGTTGATGCTTACTTTTGTCCAGGGATGAGCTTTAATCTGTGGGAACTTGAACTCGGAATAGTTGGGATTCATCTCTCGAATCTGCTCCCGCGTTGGTGTACCAAGGACCTTGATGATTTCTACCAGCTGGTCAACGCCGCTGTCCCCTGGAAAGATGGGCTGACCCAGAAGTAGCTCTGCCAACACACATCCTGCTGACCAGACATCTGTAACACAACAAATTAAAACAGTTTGATTTGGCCGAAATATGTCCGAATTGTTACCTTGTTTCGTTTTGTCACTGTGTGTACATCTGACTGAACTCCGTAACGTTATGACAGGACAGGCCGACTGTCAACAACATCTGACTGTGGCCGTGACGTTTCACAGACTAGGTTAAGAGTAGCTTCCCTTTGATAAAGAGGGACAGACAGATGGATTGCTGCGAAAGGCAAGTAAAACAATTTGTGTAGGCAATTGTTGTTTTGCATATAATACGTTGTTACGCTACTGTATAAGAATCATATTTCAGTTGGAACTATATTGGCTACTGTCACTGTCTGATTGACACATCACTTATCCTCTAACGTATTATATATTAATGCACACATTCCAGGAAAAATTGCAATGTTTAGGTAATGTTTGTGAGAGATGAAAAGCTATTTTCGTGCACAGAACTGAAGAAGGACATTATATGATAAAGAGTTTATCACGCTCCCTTTGAAATTGATTCACAAAATGGTGGCAACATGAAAGTGATTTTTCTCACACATTGTTATCTCCCCTGTATCCATGACTACAAAATGGCGGTGCCTGACCATGCTGTGTTACATTTACTTTAGCCTGGAGAAAATAGGATCTGCATGTACAATCACTGTTAAACACAATAGCTCCCAATATACTGCAATACCATTTTGTTACCAATACACAGCCCTAGAGGTCAGCCCGTCATCTGGTTGTGACCTGACCCACACACAACACTTACTACCCACCTATTTGTGCTGTGTAGTCTGTGGCCCCAAATATCAGCTCTGGGGCTCTGTAGTAACGTGAGCAGATGTACGACACATTTGGTTCTCCCTTAACCAGCACTTTAGCACTGAAACAAATTGAAACATAGGATTATTGAGAAATACAAACACAGGGTTTCAGATTTTCTAGGACAGATTATAATCCAAAATGTCCTATGACTACTTCCTCTTCCAAATTAGGTAATAATACAGAAGAAAATCCTATCAAATGCTGATGATATCATGAAAACGTCCTACTGCCATATATATGAAAGTGAGTGATTGAGTGAGTATGGTTTAATGCCACTTTTAGCAATATTTTAGCAATATTCCAGCAATATCACAGCAGGGGACACCAGAAATGGGCTTCACACACTGTACCCATGTCGGGAATCAAACCCGGGTCTTCGGCGTGACAAGCGAACGCTTTAACCACTAGGCTACCCGACCACCCCCATATATATATGAAACAAATACATAATCAATGAAACATGTCAAACATGACACTGAAGATAACATTGAAGATGATGACCGCAATAATCTGTTAATTTCTTTACCTGTTAAGATGGATCTCAACAGTAATGATAGATCTAAGTGGGGACAACAACCAGCGTTAGAAACTAACAGTTTTCGTCCACTAGTTCTTATAATGATAACATATAGCAAAACCCTTAAAAATGGCAAATTTCTACTTGTCCTTATGATTCCTTTACCATTGGGCAGTTTGGCAAGGACTATAGGACTAGTGCCAATTTCTAATGCTGATAACTTATCTCCCCTACTACAGCAATACATGTATCATTTAGGTTCTACTACACTAAATGAGAACCAGTTTGTGACTGCCTTCAATGCAGATCAAGAGATATCTGCAAGCTGTGATTGGATGATATTGTGTAAGATTGTGTCTCTTAAATATACATCCATCCAGTAATTAAAACTGACCATGTTTTTCTATATTTAGTACTGTCTTTTTCAACATGATGACTAATGCTGAATGTGACCACGGATATTTTCAAGTAGGTGACATTTGGTGCGGAACTAGGGGTGGTGTGTTTAGCTTCCTGTACTCGGAAAAGGAGCTGGCTAAGCTAGTCTTTGTTTTTGTTTTATTGCTACTCTAAGGCCAAACTGCGCACACACGTACAGGTAATAGCTGTTGAATGCTTAATCTGGGTTAATTCTAGGGTGAGGCCTTGTGCTTTTAGCCCCTGAATTTGAAATAAAGGCCCACATGTTTAAATACAATGGGGCACCTTAACATTGTGCTGTATGGACATACCTCTAGAATATTTGAAATTTTCACACAAAGAGTGAACCCTACTTAATTATCTAAAAATAATATTATAACGTTACTATAAAAGTCTATGGGAAAACAGATGGTTGTGTGTAACCTGTAGGCTTTTAGCTTTAACAAAGCTGACTTGTTCAACGACTGTCAACACTTATTCAATACAACCATCACATCACAGATGAAATAAATCTGAGGAAAACTTCAAACAGCCTAGAAACTCACCTTCCAAAATCACACAGTTTCAGTATCCCAGTTTCTGGGTCTAACAAGAGGTTTTGAGGTTTGATATCCCGATGACAAACTCCTTGTGAATGGATGTATGCAAGACTTCGGAACAGCTGATACATATACAACTGGAATAAAATGCATCATAATTAATTGAACATGCGCATCAATACTTGTCGCAGACAATAACTGTTATCACGTCCTCTCATTCATTGTTAAATAGCAGTATTTCAAATGTCACAACTGGAGGCTATGGTTCGTCCCATTGTGACATATTACTTGTATACAGTAACTGTGTAATATTCTCTCATTCTCATTCCTTGTTAAAAATCAGTTTTTCTATGTGTCCCTACTGGAGGCTATGGATCGTCCCATTGTGACATAAACACCTGTTGTATATAATAGCAGTAACAAATCAGTCATGCGTTCATTGTTTAACATTAGTTCTTCAGCTGAGAATGGGTTGAACACAGGCTACGTGAGTTGTGAATGGGTTGAACACAGGCTACTTGAGCTGATAATGGGTTGAACACAGGCTACTTGAGCTGAGAATGGGTTGAACATAGGCTACTCGAGCTGATAATGGGTTGAGCACAGGCTACTTGAGTTGAGAATGGGTTGAGCACAGGCTACTTGAGCTGAGAATGGGTTGAACACAGGCTACTTGAGCTGATAATGGGTTGAACACAGGCTACTTGAGCTGATAATGGGTTGAACACAGGCTACTTGAGCTGATAATGGGTTGAGCACAGGCTACTAGAGCTGAGAATGGGTTGAACACAGGCTACTTGAGCTGAGAATGCAATGAGGATGGAATGGGGGTGATTGTGTTTTCAAAAATATGCTCTGGGGTGTGCAAGAGAGACAAGGAACGTTGTGTACCTTGATGAAGAGCAGTGGGACCGAGTTCTTGCTCTTGCTGTAGTGTCTTGCTACCCTGTAGACAGTCTCCGGGACATATTCCAATACCAGGTTGAGGTACACCTCATCTTTCTGCAACACATAAACATCACAATTCATGCACGTGACAACATGACAGTCTGCAGTTGCATTCTTGTCCACTTGTAATGGTCTCTGATTTGAAACATAAGACTGTAAATAACAAGATCTAAACATCCATGAACTTGAGATTTTAATACTGCATCGTTGCCTGGAGGTGATTTATAACACATCTTACACAGGGATTGACTTAGGCTGCGATATTATTGCTAATTGTCGTAGATATCGCATCAACATTCAATCAGGGCGATTGAAAATCGTGTAGTTCTTTCAATAGTGTTATATGCATTAAAACTCATTTTCACCTACAAAAATCGGAAATGTCGTAAAGCTTGAATAAATTCATCTGCAGGACCTAAAAAAGTAAAAAAAACTTACATGCTAGTTTATTCAATCGTCAAAAGTTGTCAATCAAAACAGCGATTTGCATACTCACAACACTGCATGCTATCTCTTACTGTGCATAACCAATTCCTATATCACTGCATGGAGCTTTGCATCAGCTGACAATGGAGGAGTGCGCAACATTTTTTTTTATCCCCAATTGTTTGTTTTAACAAACTAAACACTTTGGTAGTGCACGAAAATCTTATTCCATGATCCACAACTCCCAAGTCATTAAACATATTTTTTATTTTTTTTAAATCCTAGCAGAAATCAAAGACGTTGATCTCAATGTATGTGCGTCCGTGCAGAAATCAAGAGTGAAAAAGACAATCATGGGTAAACTTCCAAAACACGAGCAAATTTCGATTGTGGAATGACAGCAAAACAAAAACTAAATGAATATATATACAACCCTTTCTCCATAATAATCTACAAATTTCAGATCAGAAACGATTGTATTTTAGATGAGATTTGCCTAGCCAGTGACGGCACCGGTGGAAGTGTTTTCATGAACGTAGCCTCATGCAAGAATGGCCACCGTGCATGAATTACAAATTTTGAACAATTTCTAGTGGCCAAAAAGTAAGTTGGATTTAGATTTTTTAGAATATGCTATGATACGTTTGCTTCCAAATTTGTCCATAAACATTGAAAACTGTGACTTAATCATTCAAACGTAACTCTCGTGAAATAACATCATGAATGTCAACTTTCAACTTCCAGTTCCTCGCAAACATTTTCTGGCTGCTGCACATGGCAAACACACCTCCTTCTGTGTGAAATAAATGACTTAATTGTTGCTAATTAAACAAGAGCGTGAACCTGGAGAAATGAAATGAAGAGCTGATGGTGGTAAACATGCCTCCTAAACGACCATAATTGTCCTTGCGAATATTCCACATCAAGTCAACAATGAACAGAAATACACAAATATTTGTGTAATTTCTTCTGAAGTAGGCAATGAATAGAAATACATGTCGCATGTAATTTTTTGTTAATGCTAATGCTAATTTTTTTAAATACATGTATTCGCAGTAGAATAATTAATGTTCGAAAAAAGAATATCCAAGGATGTATCTATATAATCTTGTAATATTACTTGCAATATTATTTGAGTCACAAGTACCAAAAATCAAATAGTTTCCCCCGTGTGAAGATGAAATATCTCTGAAAATTAGCACAATCTCATCACAATAAAAGTATCTGACCTTTCCGCTTTTGACTCCATCCTAATCATCAATAACATAAGCTATTGTAATAGCACTGTTGATATTAATCCATCATTCATATTTATGAAACATCAATGCATTTGTGCAGAAATCTACAGATCTGAATTCTGTAAGAATGCTGTGATGTTTCCGGAATATGAATGATGGATTTTTTTACAAAAAAAAGCAATACAGGTCCCCAGCAACCTAGGCTTGTCATAAGAGTGGAATAAATGGATTGACTGGTCAGGCTTGGGGAGTTGGTTGATCACATTTCATCGCTGGACTGTCTGCTCCAAACTCAATTGTTTACAGGCCACAATCATAGAAATGGAACATTAGTACTATGGTAGTGAGGCATTATAAAAAAAAAAATACGTAACAAAAAGCCCTTAAAGACGTGAGGATGATAGTATCTTAAACTGTAAAACTACCATTTCTATTGAAAATGAAAATACTTTTACTAATCTACAGACCCGTGAAGATCCGGGGTAGAATAGGTCTTCAGCAACCCATGCTTGTCGTAAAAGGCGACTATGCTTGTCGTAAAAGGCGACTAACGGGATCGGGTGGTAAGGCTCGCTGACTTGGTTGATGCATGTCATCGATCCCAAGTGCATGGATTGATGCTCATGATATTAATCGCTAGATTGTCTGGTCCAGACTCGATTATTTACAGACCGCCGTCAAATAGCTGGAATATTGCTGAGTGCGGCGTTAAACAACAAACAAACAAACAAACCAATCTACATGGAGAGATGAATCTACTGAGCTCTAACCATGCTAACTGTAACATGTCCAAGAAAGAATTAAAATGCCCATAGATTTTTAGGCATGTTTATTTTCAGGTATGCTTGTGATGGAAACTAAAACTCACTACAGCCATAAATTTGCTACGCAGAATCTGTTGCTTGTGATATGATTGATAGCACTGAGCAACAGGGTTCTATATTAACACAAGTATACTAGTCTGAGGACTAATGACATTTTTTTTGTAGACTACCTGTTTTACCAATAAGAAGATAACATCTCGGTTGCAAGTAATGTTTACAGACTTGTGAAAAAAAAAGTTAATTTCTAACCCTGAGCAATGAATTCCAAACTTTTGAAACAGTTAATTATTACCGTTAGTACCTTTTAAAAAATGGCTGCCACTGGCGATATCGCTCAGGTGAGATCAAGCAATATCTATATTATTATTATTATCCCAAAAAGTAAAGGGCAATCACAAAGCATGTGAAGTATGTGTGTTGAATTACAGTTCAAAGTTCTACCACTCGTACAAGATAATATTGGAGGTAACATTGGAAATTTTCTTTTAAAACCATTTAAAACAACCAATTATAATATGTGCAAATCACAACATCAGTCTTGGAATCATATACCAGCCACACATACTTTGTCAGACATTACTTTTTCAATTTTCTCTTCACAGGAATGGATTTAGAAATGTTGCAGACATGGACAGTTTCTCTGTCTTGACTTGCTTCTGTTGGCGATGAACCGCGTCCCCATCAACATGATCAATACTATTAGTTCCAACTAAGGGTGTGAGGTAAAACCAGTATATATCAGTAAACTGAGGTTCATTCTTTCCATAATATGTATTAGGGCTGGGACGAGTCCAAATTTACTACCCAGGCACCGACCAACCTATTACCCGACCCTACCTGGGTACCCACTGTAGGTCTCAGGAGATATCTCAAAATGTCCAATTGGGAACATATTTAGCATAGCCCTGGCAAAATGTATTTAGATACATGTATTAAACAATCTGGTCATTGAATTAAGTTATATCTTTATTCCACCATATAAAAAATCAGAAGGAATTGGTGCAGGGTCAGAAGGAAATGCGAACAATAGTGACTTTAGTGTAAGCATAGAGTTCTAGATAATTTTTGTCATTAAACAATATATCACGTGACTGACCTCAGGTAGTCCTGTGGGTACCCAGATCCTACCTGACACGGGTACCCGCGTACCCGAGTTACCCGACCCAGCCCTAATAAAGTAATATGTATCACAAAATATTTATTGATGCTCGGTATATCATGGGATTTCAAATAGCTATTTTTATGTGTTTAAAAAGTAATGTTACACATTTGCCAAATCCCTTCAAAATGTTTCTGTAATTCCAAAATGCAATTTCAAGAAAATCGAGATTATTGCTCAGTAACCTCCCTTTTGCTTATGCACATTGGTACAAGTCCGTCAACAACATACGGGGCCCCAAGATGGACATGTGGTCAGTTGTTTGAAATGTGAAAGGCAAAGCCAAAGTTTGGAAGCACTTCAATCTAAATCAAATGGATGGTAAGATTGATTAAATAAGTATTGCAGGCTGTCGCGAGTGCGCTTCTCAATTCAAAATTTAGAGTTATACAATATATCAGGATGCGCATCAGAATACGGCCTTGTGCATTATAAAATATTGTGATACACATCCAATACCCATCCAAGCGTTAGAAATTGACACTAGTCCTATAGTCCTTACCAAACTGCCCAATAGTAAAGGTATTCTAAGGACTAGTAGAAATTGGCCCATTTTAAGGGTTTTGCTATAGGTTATCATTATAAGGACTAGTGGAAAAAATCTGTTAGTTTCTAACCCTGAATTTTAGACTTGGTGAATAGGAATGCAACTTTATAAAGTTTTTCAGGTATACACTGGAATCTCAGCTTAATTTACAACTTACGTGAAATATATGACCAGAGTAATGAATCAGGGACTTAAAGCAGCATAGCACAACTTGTTAGAATGGCAGTACACAAGGATGTGGTGATTTTTGTTTATAACAAGTTTTTGTTTTGCAGATAATGATAAATAAATGTGTGAAGCAAGAGGACTTACGAGTTGTATTTCATTGATTTTATCATTACTTACTATTAGTTCTGGTGTAATGGAATACCAGTGGTATTGTCAGTGAGTATCGTGATACGCATCGTGTCGCAAGATACCACGTTATACTCAGCAGATGTCTTCAAATCCCTAAGTGAGTGTGAGTGAGGGAGTGAGTGAGTGGGGTTTAACGCCGCTTTTAGCAGTATTCCAGTTATATCGCGACATGTCAGCTTAATGTGGGAGGAAAGCCCGAAGTGAGGCAGGTCTCAGACGTTTACCACTTTGGTGAAACCCATGAGAACAGGTATGGTGCTGACAAACCTAGAAACATAATCGGGGTGAACCAGGATTCGAACCCATACTCATAGGTTTCTGGCGTGCCCAAGGGACAGACCTCTGCACATCGAATCGCGGCGCCTTGCACCCCCGCCCTCACCAAGTCCTTTATGAGTGAGTTATGAGATAAACATTTGTCTTTAGATTCAGGGGTGGACCATAGAACACTGCAAGGAATGGGCGAGTCATCAGTAACCATGTTTTGTAGCACTCACTGGATCTGAGCGAATAGCAGCACTTTAAAGCTCTTCACCTTCCATCAAGCATTTGCTTAAAGTTTGCTATTGCATTAAGCAATATTACAGTATCTTGTTTTACATTGCACAGATATGTGTGCCCAGTGTGGACAAATGTATACAGCTAAAACATATTGATTAAAAAAAATAAATAAAAAAATATTAATCAGGTTCATTATACCAAATTCTTGACAAATAATATACAGATATAAAGGTTCTGATATTAAAGTTGTTACAAAATCTTTGTGTACACTTCACCATTTCATTATGGCAGTGGACCCTGATATTGCTTGTAAGGACCGTTGAAAATATGTAAGTCAAGGTCAAACCTGGGTAAATAACACAATCTTGACCAGACAAACCTGTGATTGATATTATATCGATGTTATCATGAGCAGCGATCCACACGCTCGGGCAAGTCATAGACATGACAACGCGATACATTAAGTCACTTCTAACAACAAGCACAGGTTGCTTGGGACTAATTCTCACATGTACCTCGACGGGTCCACAAGTAGTTGCCTCCTAGTCCTATCAACGGGTGCTGGGGACATTCTACCCTACATCCGACAACCATGGGTAACTAGAGGCCTACTTGTATTCTTCCTCAGAATTTATATGAGTAATCATTATAAGGGTGAGTGAGTGAGTGAGCTTTTAACAGTATTCCAGTTATATCGCGGCGTGTCAGCTTTATGTGGGAGGAAAGCCCGAAGTGATGCAGGTCTCAGCCGATTACGAGGGTGAGTGAGTGAGTGAGTTGGGTTTAACGCCGCTTTTAACAATATTCCAGTTATATCACGGCGTGTCAGCTTAATGTGGGAGGAAAGCCTGAAGTGAGGCAGGTCTCAGACGTTTACCACTTCGGTGAAACCCACGAGCACGGGTATGGTGCTGACAAACCTAGAAACATAATCGGGGCGAACCGGGATTCGAACCCACAATCATAGGTTTCTGGCGTGCCCAAGGGATGCAACTCTGCACCGCGAATCGTGGCGCCTTAGACGACTGGGCCACCCGTGCCCCCTACGAGGGTGACCAAAAGGAAGAAAGAATTAGGTCTGCCACTAGTTTTGTACAAGAAATTTAGACTTGACTCTGGAAATGTTAGGACAACATGTAAGCAACTGGAAACTACAAACAGTTAACACAATCAAATTTGTTAGGGGAACTTGCTAAGTCTAAAACAAAGTCAGACGTAGCAGGATGACGACAAGTATTATCTTTTAACGTCTCTAGGTAGGATGCGGCTAGGGATCGACATTCTGCTCTCTGGACAGACGCTCTATATCTAGTTAGTAACTAACGGCAACTACTAACATACATCAATCAATCAATGACCACTACTTGGAAAGTCTAAACTTCTATAAACAAATGATGATGATTAACACAAAATGAAACAGAATGTTGCATTCAGAAGAAGGAAGTTGGAAATTATTATTCATTTCAATTCGTGCCCCCTGAAATCAGGCTTGGGCCTTACCAAGGTCGTTATCAATTATATATAGGTCATTCTTCACAGATAAGTGACAATGTTTAGTTGGGTAGCGTTCAGACTTTTTACAAGTCTTGTACTTACACGCTATCATCTGCTTACTTCTCAATTGAGACTAGAGATTCAATAGTGTGATGAAAATGGAGATGTATTATTGCCGATAAAATATTTTGTTCACATTTCACATTTGTACACAAAGAATGTATGACGTTATCTGAATGCAACACTCATGTACTCAGGGATACAAATACTATTTATATCAAACATATTTATATTTGCAATTCAAAACATAAATCTGTCATTAATCATATCTAACTCTAAATAGTTTTGAATTACCATGAGCATAAGATGAAAATCACGATCTTCTCACTTCAAAGGCAATTTTCAAAAATCAAATGTCAAAAAGTTTAGTCTGCTTGATCAAATCAGTGTCAGTGATTATGTTTTCAATGCAGCCATGTAAGAAGTTATTTAACCCTAGTGTTGTAGTATTTGTATCCGTCAGTACAATGGGAAGAAGGCAACAAAAGAAACTAATGATAATGACACACCTTCCTTCTTACCTTATCGCCAGCAGAATAGAAGAAATACTTCAGCTTCACGATATTCTGGTGTTCCAGCTTGCGCATTATCTGCAATTCTCGATTCTGGAATAGAAATAGAAATCCATGTAAATCTAAACAGGTCATCCAGCGGTAGAAACCAACAGTTTCAGTCCACTAGTCCTTATAATGATAACATATAGCAAAAACCTTAAAAAACATCAAATTTCTACTAGTCCTTAGGATACCTTTACTATTGGGCAGTTTGGCAAGGACTATAGGACTAGTGCTAATTTCTAATGCTGTCATCATGGTCATTGTTTCTCATTGTGTCGTAACACGTAAGTTAACTATGTCAATAACGAACATGTTATTATGAACCGATGGATGTAACAAACGTTATTTTGGTTGAGTCCCTTTGCTGTATAATGCTTATAACAAATTACAGTTATAACAAACCTAACTTAGTGGTCCCTTTGAGTTTGTTATAACCGTAGTTCACTGTAATGCCATTGTGTGGATGAGTGAGTTACCATCTAATGGCACAGCAACAGTAAAGCTATTTGGTTAACATGATGTAATTTCACACACAAACAGATTACATGAGCCTTCCCCTGCCTAGATATAGTTTGTCTAGCCAGCTGACATTGTAAGAAATACATCAATACCTGACAGTCGAAGGGAGACGTAAGTATGAGCATCTTCAATTAGCTGCTACACATTTTGGAAGACATTTATTAATAATGCATTATTCATGTAACACATGGTTGTATTGAAGTAGGGGAGAATATTCCAAACAATGAAATGTATGACAATTTCAAGCATACAAAAACCGCTCAAGAAAATCTTCTAGTAAGTTGCGACAGCTTGACACCAAGCAATATTCCTGTTTATAGAAATTGGTTGTATTATTCAAGGGGACAGTTTCTTTTTCAGATGGGGGAGGAAGGTTCGTATGCTAAAGCTCACTAGAAACAAAATTAAGCTAGCCAGGTGGCTACTAGAAACAAAATTAAGCTAGCCAGGGCTGCAACAAATACACTATGAGGCGAATACCATTTGTATCACGAATATAGGGTCGCGAATACGAATATTAAATCATGAATACAATAACATGTCTGCAGTTGATGTATTATTTGTTATATTCAGTGAAGCAATAACAACATAAATTAAATTATTTGACATGTTTTGTTAATAATTAATATATTATACATTTATATACTGCACTTATCCAGGTACTAGTATCTACTCAAATGCGACAATGACCAGTGACCACAATATTGTCAAATTAAATATTATAAGAGGGTTGTCTTTGAAGAAAGCTATGCAGATAATTTGTTCTTACGTCTATTATTAGGTACAGGGTGTGTAAATGGGCATGATTGCATATTCTTAAATATTCAATTCTAGTGGCCACGAATAACGAATTCAATTCATGAATGGCTAGGTTCGACTGCTCGAATATGCAAGTGAATCGTAACAGCCCTAGTCGCTACCAAGTTTAGACAAGAAACTATTTACTGTCTACTGTCACACACTGGTATCCACAATTAAATGCCCTTGACATCTCCTTTACATTTGGACATAACTTAAGTCTTATACAGTCTGTGCCTAAACACGTTTGAGTCTTCTCACCTCCACTTGTCCCTTAGTACTATTTCAAGTCAATTGTAGTGTTATGATATCCACTAATATTTCTGAGTGAGTGAGTATGGTTTTACGCCGCTTTCAGCAATATTCCAGCAATATCATGGCGGGGGACACCAGAAATGGGCTTTACACATTGTACCCATGTCAGGAATCAAACCCGGGTCTTCGGCGTGACAAGCGAACGCTTTAACCACTAGGCTACCCAACCACCCCTAATATTTCTGAACTCACTAGACCCAACAGAATTTTACAAGACTCTGGCTTCGGACTAGCAGCAAAAGTCATAGATTGCTTATAGCAACTTCACACACATACCTTGAACCTCTTGTCCTGAAGAACTTTCTTGATGGCAACTAGCTCGGATGATTCAACCAGCCTCGCCTGATAAACAACACCGAAGGAGCCATTGCCAATGACCTTGGCATCAGTGTAGCTGACCTCTATGGGTCGGTCACTGCCAATGCCTGGAGTGGCCACAACAGTGTTCACCTTTGACCCATCTTTTCCTGTAAAAACCAATATTGGGAATATTAGCTGGCATTACAATTGAGGAAACTTTTAGCACACAAAGAAACGAGGAACAACACACTTCTGCGTAACGCATTCACCCTGGTGTTTAATATCTTCGAATTAAACCATTGTAATGATTAATGATGCCACGTAAGTCGTTATTGTTGTTGCAGATGATTCTAAACCAGGAATTCACTGGCCATTCTGTGCATTTGAAACAAGGAAAACTCAAAATTTCTCACCAACAAAATGCCTATTAGCACGAATAGTGGGACAATAATATTAAATAAGATTACTTATTGAAGGATGTATCCTAAAGAATGGAATTGCAAAAGAATAGCCCCCATTGATATTTTCAATAAATATTGATGAGATACTCTTGCTTGAAAACTGCTTTAATCCAGTCTTTGAAAGGCATTTAATCAATTCAAACTGGTAAAATGTCTTTGAAGTTTGTAGCTCAGCTTATAAGATCACATTTGCTAAGAACATAACCTACTGAAAATGAAGAAAACAAGTTCTGAGCCTGTTGATTAAAAATACAGAGGTCTAAGTCAGACATCTATACCTCTGATTGGCCATAATTGGGTTTTATGAGCTGATCATAAAATAATATACAATCAGTGACACATATTTTTGGTATTTTAAAGATGTTAAGTTTCAGAAACAAAATGTAAATGAAAATATATTAATATTATATAGGTTGTGTTTAAAAATTTACACCACAATATGCAGAACTCATAAATTTGTTTCCGTCTGAAGCTTTGCTTATCATACTAATGTGGACTTCTAAATTCCATTGAAAAACAATACCAAATGACTTGGGTTATCAGAAGAAGCTTTAGAACTGACTGTTACATATATTTCTCAAGAGTTTGTACTGCAATGCTGGGAGTTGACAGAATAGTTCTTGAACATTTCTGAACTGTCGGTGAGGGGCACTTTGCATGCATTTACACAGGGATTTATCTTGGATGTCAAACTACTGTATTCGACGTAATAAGCGCCCAGGGCGCTCTCAAAATTAGACATGGGGCTCTTATTAGAATATTATTTTGGTGAGAAAAAACAACAGAGTTGAAAGATTGTAAATTTCGTGGTTGATGCTGACAGCCTGAAATGTTTACATACAACAGATATATTTTTCCAGTTTTGAAATTGCCCATAATTAAGGGTGCATATAAGACACAGGTGCGTATTATACACCAATAAATAAGTCTTGTGTACATTGATCAATCGGAAGGGGTGCTAATATCACCATGGGCGCTCATTACCTCGAATACGGTAAGTGCCCTTGCCTGCCAAATTGTTTTTTTTTTGTTCAAACTTGGATTATTTTAGTGTTAAAATTTTCATAAAATCTGAGGAAATTTATCATATTCATTCAAAGGAATTTTTACTGTCATTTGCTGCATACTCAGGCTAAATATCGGCCTCTGAGCTGGTCTGATAAACACCTGATACATAAATACCTGTGGCAAATAATCCTATGTAATAACAGCTGAAGGGAAAATCGCCATTAGGTCCATCATTAGAACGGCTTGTTTATTACCGATGATGTATGACATTACATAAATAGTATCTATTTATAGACATGATAGACTGGAGGTTTTATATACAGTCTACCTGTACCTGTAGTCGGAAGACCAACAGCTTGGTTCTGCTGACATGTCTTCATGTTTCTCCATCTCATGACTTTTTCTACATCCCCAGTGAATCACCCAAGATTTATATATAGCATATTCATCTCATAAATTCAGACATGCATTGTCTCACTGTCTTTCAAAGGCCCCATGAAATAATTTTTGTGAGCATCGTAAGAAAGAAAATGCCTTGATATCATTCTCAAAACATTACAATGAATAATCAAAGCATAGTCCATACTAATTATTTCTGAAAATGCAGAATTGAATTTACAGATTTGGAACATTCAAACAAAGAAAAATGAAGTCAGGATTCTGCTTCTGAATTTTTGGATTACCTTCAAACCCACCCTACTACTATTTTGTGACCCCTGTAAAACTACAAGGACTAGTAATTCCTCTGATTTCATAGAGCTGTAAGCAACAGGCAGCAAATTTGTTGGATTTCAAACACAGTGTCTACACCAGGGATAACTCTAGGATGGAGCTTTGTGCTTTTAGCCCCCAAATTTGACAAAAAAGGCCTACATTTTCAAATACAGCATTAGAAACAAACAGTTTTCATCCATCAGTCCTGATAGTGATAACATATAGCAAAACCCTTAAAAAGCACAAATTTCTACTATTCCTATGTTACCTTAATTAATGGGTAGTTTGGCAAGGACTATAGGACGAGTGCCAATTTCTACTGCTGAAATACAATGGGGCATTTTAACATTGTGCTGTATGGGCAAGTGTGGGTGTATCTCTGGAATATTTGAAATTTTCACATAAACGACCCATGTCAGAAAATTCCTAGAGTGAACACTGCTACACCATACTGTGAATTCAGGCTTTAGCGGAATATTGAAACATGTAAAATATCAGGATAGAAACATGTCAAATATCAGGATAGGACAGTGACACTGTATTACGACTGACGCTGCAGCAATTCATACGCGATGACCACTGGTTACTACATGGTGCAGAAAGTATTTCCCCAAATGAGTATTCCACTTCCTGCCTACAGGTATAATTAGAGGCAAGGCCCGTCTCCTGTCTGCCCTTTATGGACCCAACTATGGCATCCTGGGTAATTAACAGACTAGGCCCCTGGCTTTTCACAAACGATCATCATTATGATTGACAATGTGATTGTCACTTCATACTTTTGCCTCCAATCCGATCTTGTTATACCAGTAGTAGTTATAGGTCTTATCTCGCAAGTCCCCTGTCAACAATTTCATCCACCGGTCAAGGGAACAATATTCATCTTAAACTTGAAAAATCAAGACTTTAACTTTCACAACTAAAAGCAAAATACGCAGATCAGTATTTCTTGTTCTTTAAATTAGAAGCAGTGCATAGTTCTGTGAGTGAGAGATTGAGTGGTAGTTTAAAGCTTCAACATTGTTTCAATTATATGACAGCATCAGCTGGATGAGGGAGTGAAGCTTGTGTAAGCGAGTTGGGCTTAACACCACTTTGAGGTGGTGTTGCTGTTTGTTGTTTAACACTGCACTCAGCAATACTCCAGCTACATGACGACAGTCTGTAAATAATCGAGTCTGGACCAGACAATCCAGTGATTGACATCATGAGCATCGATCCCCGCAATTGGGATCGATGACATGCATCAGCCAAGTCAGCGAGCCTGACCACCCGATCCCGTTAGTCGCCTTTTACGACAGGCACAGTCGCCTTTTATGGCAAGCATGGGTTGCTGAAGACCTATTCTACCCCGAACACAAATTTGTCTACGACACAGTCCCATAGGAAGCACATGTGCAACATGTGTTACTTGTCTACAGATCTGTTTCATCCAGGTGATCATTTTCTACCACAATCAGTGACTACTAATCCCTGGAATCAGAAACCATTAATATTTTAGTTGTTGGTCATGCACTACAAGGCAAGTGAAAGTTTAAAAGTTCCAAAGTGTACAACATCAGTGGACAAGTACAATAGCACCCATCCGTCATTCAGCCGAGTAATAAATAACTAGGCTTTAACATTAAACTGGGGGATGCACTTGTTGCCTCTAGTTTCTATTCCCTTGTGTGCTGTTTTTAAACTGAAACACTTCCCCATCAAGAGGAAGGAACCAGCTGTTGTTCATAAGCTGACCTCAAAGATGGCAAGCCAAATTCATGTAGATTCCAGCCCTATAAATTGACCTTAATCTTAAGATCAAGTAAAAGTTGATGTGTGATGTTTCTTGAGGGATTAACGTGATTCATTGGGGCATTATTATGTTACAGCCCTAGTATTTAGTAGACATCAAGGGATGTATCGGAGGTGAAATCCTGCATCAAATACACATAAAACTTGAAACAGACGAAATAGAAGCACACGGTGCATCCACTGAGAAAAGAAAATTCAAAGTACATGCTTGTTTAGGAATGAATGCTGTTTTATAATTTGATACGACTTAAAACAATCTCCTCTGAACATGTCACACATTGAATATTGTTAATATAAAAAAGCAGTGTAACTGTTCACTTTGTTTTATGCTATCTAATATGTAGAATCAATAAGGAGACAGTGCTCTACCACAAGTGATACAAGACAGGGTTAGAAACAAAGTTTTTGTCCACTAGTCCTTATAATGATAAGATATAGCAAAACCCTAAAAATGGGCCAATTTCTACAAGTCCTTAGGATACCTTTGCCATTGGGCAGTTTGGTAAGTACCAATTTCTAACGCTGCAAGATGATGTATGCTCAGAGGAGATTACACCACTGGCACCATATTGCTATTACATGTTGAATAAGACAGACAAACCACAAGTCGGGCTGCTTTATTTGAACATCTTTATATTCAATATAAGACATTTCTCTTGGACCCCATTTTTTAATCTGGGATGCCTGTAGTTCAGGGTTGTCCGCCCCCCTGGAACCCTACAATAAATAATCCAGGTAAATCCTTGCATTCACTGAATTTCATTCTGTTTGTTACTGTTTCCAAGCGGAACAATACATTGCCAGTGGTAAAATTAAGCATTAATTTAGAGGTCCTTGCTACGGCTCCAATGTTAAAGGCACAAATATATACCAATAATAAGGAACATAGCATCTAAAAAACCCTGAAGATTCGGGGTAGAATAGGTCTTCTGCAACCCATGCTTGCCGTAAGAGGCGACTAACAGGATTGGCAGGGTTAGAAACTAACAGTTTTTGTCCACTAGTCCTTATAATGATAACATATAGCAAAACCCTTAAAAAGGGCACATTTCTACTAGTCCTTATGATACCTTTACCATTGGGCACTTTAGCAAGGACTATAGGACTAGTGCCAATTTCTAACGCTGATTGGGTGATCAGGCTCTCTGACTTGGTTGATGCATGCCATCGTATCCCAATTGCGTGGAGTG